ATTCAATTCCATCTTCGAGCGCCGGCCCGAAATTGACAGCTGGGATACTACGGGCTATAAAGTGGTTAAAGAATCTTGCAGAGGTGAAATTGAATTTCGCAATGTCAGCTTCAGCTACGCATCCAGGAAGGATTGTGTAGTCCTTCGCGACTTTAGCATGAAGATTGAGCCCGGGTCCTTCATCGCACTAGTTGGACCTAGCGGTTGTGGCAAAAGTACACTACTCGCACTATTAGAACGATTTTTTGACCCAACCTCTGGTCAGATACTTCTTGACTGCCAGGATATTTCGAATCTAGACGTAACTAGCTATCGAAGTTCGATATCCCTTGTTGGACAAGAGCCAACGCTATATTCCGGAACAATCCGAGAAAATATCGTTCTGGGCTCTGCAGATACCGCCTCTGAAGAGCAAATTATAAAGGCCTGCAAAGACGCCAATATCTATGAGACAATTATGTCACTCCCGTAAGTCATCCATTTAAACTGATGTAAACTTGAGAACCCTACTAAAAATTCCAACATACAGAGACGGGTATGACACGGAGTTAGGGTCTAGAGGAGTAATGCTCAGCGGCGGACAAAGACAACGCATAGCAATCGCGCGCGCCCTCCTCCGCAATCCCAGGATTCTCCTGTTGGATGAGGCGACTGCAGCGCTAGATTCAGGGTCTGAAGCATTGGTGCAAGCGGCGTTAAATACAGCGACAAGGAACAGAACCACGATTGCAGTAGCGCATAGGCTCAGTACAATCCAGGGTGCAGATGTCATTTATGTTTTGGATGGAGGTAGATTGGTCGAGTCTGGCAACCATACGGAGTTGATGAAGAAAGGGGGCCTATATAAGGACCTGGTCGAGATGCAAAATTTAGCGGTGGTTTGAGGTGAACCACCGAGGTAACTAGCTATTTACCCCGTTAGACCGTTGACACTGGGCTGGCGACTTAACTATACCTACTTACGTACCTAACCTTTCATGGTTTCACCGGCTGCTCCGCCTATTGATCAGTGCATCTGGAGAGCGGCCCATAACTAATTTCCTAGCTAAACTTACCCATGTTAACTATAGTTACGGCATTGACTAGATAGTTTTTAGTTATGTAACTAGCTATATTTGATAACTTGTTACTATCTTAGAGCTTAGATGAGTATGAACTCGGCATTGGGATAAGTCTAATTTATTAGTTGACTCACTAGATTCCATTAGTCTAGGGCACTTTCGAGGTAATTAGCACGGAGTACAGATGCTAACAACACGGATACATTGTTTGTTTAAGGCCGGAAAGTGCTTCATAAAGATTTGGGGCAACGGTGGACACCGGCAGGTTTGAGAACAAATGTTTCGCAAGATAAAGAACTATAACTTTGTAGCGAGGGAGGTATAATTCTGGTAAGGATGCTCAAACTGCTATGCAGAGAGTTGCTCCTCTTCAGATAAGTCGGGTGCATATTGTTGAAAGTTCTGAATTCTCTGATTCTCTGTGGAGCTGTCCATGTTTGCCTCGTGGACTGTAAAAGGTTCCACAAATCCCCCTTGCACAAAGTGTGGCGTTGTCCTGGTCATTGATTCTGCAGTTGATAAAGTCGCCTGTCCATAAATATTTCGTTTAAACCGGGAAGCAGCCTCTGGATTTGAGTTGTTCGCATCCGTCCACCACGCGGAGCTACCCTGTTTAGCCCAGGCAAAAGGGGGATGCATGGCTTGCGCCTGGCTAGAATTGTTTTTGCAGGCTTGCATGGGCAGGGATGTAGTATCTTGGCTAGGGTTTGGTATCGCATGAAAAAAGTTCACATCCATATCAACTCGCAGGCCTGAGGTAGCGATGTTGGGATCGGATTCGCCTGACCAGTCAACAGCAACTTGCTCGAAATTGCTCGGTTGAAGTAGCACCCTATCTGCTTGGTATTTCGGCGCATCGACGTTAAAGGGAAGTTGTGGATTTGCTGTTTTCCGTTTATATCCTATGCGTTGCTGTTGTTGCTGCAGCATTATGATATATCTAGGAGTCTCTAGTACCTGACCATACTCAGAAGCCCAGAGCTCTCGGACTCGCCATGCAGCAACTGTCATCCTGTTTATTACCACGTAAAGCGGTACATCCTGGTTTCGGCATTGATAGAGGGATTTCCTGAACTCATATGACATGTGAATTTGTTCCCAAGCTTTGTCAGGTAGCTCGCCTTGGGGCCGTGTCTTAAGGTCTTGAAGAATGTGCACAAGGCAAGTCCACGGGAAATCCTGGTGTATGTGCCACATGAATCTCTGGGTGCACAACTGTCCAAGGGCATTGTTTTCGTATTCGAGGGCCCTCAGTGCCATCAAGAACTTTAGGTCCCTATCCTCTACTGCTGGGTTGTTCAGATGACTTTTGTATTGAGAAGGATGAAGCATGGTGAAGCGTAGCTTACACAGGGTAAGTCGAGCCATAGTAGCTGTCAGGGAATGGACCGGGTTGAGCGTATCACAATAGCGGAGGAGATCCAACTCAATCTCTTTCTCCACGTCTTTGATGAAAATTTCCTTCTCAGAACAGCAGCTTTGAGTAGCTCCAGACCCAGTTAGCATTCCTCCTGGAAGTGCCCATGACATCCTGCTGTGATTGACGTTGTGCATGAGGTTTATAATTTTGTACTGTAGATTACAAAATATCATATCCGTGGCACCTAAACGCTCTTTGGGCGGTTCTCCCATAGTCGGAGACAAGTCAGTTTCGTTGACATTGCTCGGAAGCGAGATCTCGAAGCTGGGCTCAGGTATAGGCAAACCCGCAACGTGGGCTGATATCGTATCGTAGATGACAATTTGGTACCACAGCCTGCGTCGCATCTCCAAGTCAAATGGACTGAGACCCGTCGCAGATATCTCCTGGTGCAGCCCCAGCCGTTGTGCGCTCCGTTTGGCTATACCCATGAGATTACATAACTTGTGGGGATCGGTGTCTGGACTCAATGCTAGCTAGGCAGTTAGTTAAAGGGTAAAGTTAACAACAAATTCACGAACGCCGGCCATGCTGGTCAGATTGTGCTCACCACGTAAATCATATAAGATTGTAACACGACCAGATTAAAGGATGTGAGGAAATTTGCATTTATAAGGGCCATTTCACAGCCTAGTAGGTATCCTGACAGGAGCTTTGATTTCTCCTCCCCGAATTTTCGAAGGCACTCGGCATCTGTGAGAGACATGAGTGCACACGCCATGACCGCGAACAACAAGGCCTCCGTGTCTTTTGACACCTTGGTATGACCCTTAACGGCTTCTGCCAAAACAATGCTGACGGTCGGGGCGTGGAGGATCATTGTGACGGGCTGAATGTTGTGAAGATATGTGCACCACAATGAGGAGAAATGTAACCACTCTGGATAGAGATCTTTTATTCTGGCAGTCCTAGGCAGTCTGCCCAAAGCCAGTGCGTTGGCGCTAGCAGTATACTCAGTATCTTCATCTTCGTCGCCAGACAATTCGCGTAGAATGGTACCGGTGTCCAGCTATGTCAGGATGAGCGTTTTGCATGCCTTTAACAGGAATAAGGGGAAAATATCTCACATTTTCTTTCATCATGACCCATAAGTTGCCCTCGATATAGTGGCTTCGTTTCCCATTAACAACTAAGATATTGCCAACCTCCTTGTTGGGAGCGTGTGATTTTGGGACACATGTGTCCGCCACGCCTACGTCGCTCCCCGGAGAGTCGGCCACGTCTCGTGGACGAGAGGAATTTGCAACCCCCGTGGATTCCATATAGTTGCCTAGGCCTTTGAAGATCTCCTCATAGTGCTTAAGTTTCTCTCTTAATTTTTCATTCGAGGCCGACGTCGACAGAGTCGCTGGGGGTGGCCTTTTCCTTCTGCGCTTCTCCGTCTTTGGTGGCGGAAATTCACAGGGCATATCATTCTTGGTGCACCTTGAGCAGGGGTATACTCGGTCACATCGCACCTTACGGTGAGCGCATCGCAGGCAAGATTGAAGTTGAAAACCACTGGTAAAAGGAGGAGATGGACCAGTATGCTTTGCAGTCATATCAGCATGTTCCGAATACACTGAAGGCGATGGGGAGATGAGATGTGCGGCCCCGTAGCCAGTCGCCATTGCAATGGTGCTACTCTCGCAGATCTTGTACGTGCACATAACTACATACATGTATATAACTATATATACATATCGAGGGCGTTGGTTGCTGCTCTCACTAGCCATCGGCTCGGAGATGAGAATGAATCCACATCCTCCAAATGGGCTGGGGATACAGACAGACAGGGGTTTTGTAGCAGGATTTGAACAGTTCTAGCTCCAACGCGATAACTAGTTCACTAGTTAACGTAATGGTTATTATTGCCCTGCAGGCGTAAGCGAGTTACATGGTGAGCAAGTTAACCTGAGCTGCATCGTCCATAACTTACTACATTTCAATGTCCAAATCTGGCCTTCAGCCAAAAAAGACAAACCTGGGCTTACTAGTTAATGGCCGCAGAGAGACTGGTTATATCTAGTGGATAGTCAACTTGTTAACAAGTTAGTTAACTACTTCGCTCACGGCCGAGGTTTACTAGATACTCCGTACATAGCGGAAGATGGAACCGGCATGCAAGGCTGACTAGCACCGGCTGCGAGTTAATTATTGGGCATTGAGGGCATAGCTATCACACCTATGTACGACGGACTCTACCAAGACATCACGCATTCCGTCAGCTGCGCCCGGCCTAGAACTGAAAAGCTCCAGAGAGGCCTATAGACAAAAAGACCTAATGCGCCAAGGGTACGGAGTAGTCAAGTAATGTGTGCGAGTCCAGCTCAAGTGGAATAGTTTAGCAGTTATCCCAACAGAAGCTAACTACCGTGGCCACAAAACAGCGGGTCGGCTTCCATGTCACCTATATAACTAGTGGTGATGCACAGCTTTTTCAATACACCAGGCGGTTATGGAGCTGCCATGCAGCGCAGCCTTCTCTAGCTGGCCGAGGACCGGAGTTTGTAGGAAGCGAGCATGTCGGAATAGGGCGGAATGCCACATTCTGCGTCTCACCCATTGTTGCCCCTGCCCTTAGTCCCCCCGGCCATCCAACGGCCTGTTCTTCACAGTGGTCGCAAGGCTGGTAAAATAGGACCCTCTGCGCTCTTCCCCGTGCCTCGTGGCTATCTTCAGCAAAAGGTAGTAAATGATTGGTTACAGCGCTTGAAGGCGATATACCGTGTAAAAAGCCTGTATTCGTAGAGCTTACTGAGCGTATGTACATGGATGAAAAGTCTGCAGGAATATTAGGGTGGAAGCTGACTAGTTAGTTAACTAACTAGTCAACACCTGGTTAAAAGTTGGTTGCTACAAACACCGTTGGACGGATCCACATCAAAGTATCAGCAGCTAGTCAAAGCACCAAATTAACCACTCTACTACGTATATCTTGCCTATCTAGTTATACATATCCTTTGGTTGGCTGTGGTCACTGTGCGGGGGCTTTGCTCAGACCCACATAAGTAGTGATATTTTGCTACCTTCAGCATCGACCACTCCTCGGGAGGTTTCGACAGATTATTATGCAGGATGCATCGCGGGCCTCGGACTCTCCGTGTTGTTCTGCGTAGCAGTGACACGTCCGAAGAGACTCTGTCAACCAGAGGAAGATGGCCCCTTAGCCATGCTCTATCAACGGCCGTTGCTATAACCAGGCGATGGCAGACCCCCATGGTAGTGAAGAGCTCAATCAGAGCATCACCATCTCCTAAATCATAGGTCTTCCTTCAGCACGAGTCAGATTCTGCCGTTTGCTATCTTATCTATACGTTTGCGATGGAGTCGCTTCTACGACGATTGAATGATTCGTGCTCTTTTTTACGCTCGACATCTCCTGCAACCCTGCGGTCACTTTCGACGAGCTCCTGCGGCTCTTACATGCACCAAGGCTCTAATTTCCGCATGTCAAACCTACTGGTTGCTGCCAACCGCTGTCCTGTCACGGGCAAGGCAATGTCTGCCCAAAGAGCCAGGACCAATATCAACGGCCTCTTGACTAGCATCTTTAGCCGCTCCCCAGCCTATCCTTTACGTCTATCTCGCGCCTGCTTGCACACTGCCGTACCTAAAAGTGCCCATAGCATTCCCCTGAAACAAGGGCCTCTAGGTAAGAATGCACATACATATATACAGTCCTACCGCCTTTTCTATCATTCATTTGCAGCTTTTACTAACCCAAGACTAGTACCGCCTTCATCCCTTGCTATATCTCACAGAAGCCGTGCGCATTTTGATTATGAGGGCTTCTACCAAAAGGAACTGGACAAGAAGCACAAAGATAAATCCTACCGTTATTTCACCAACATCAACAGGCTTGCACAGGACTTCCCCCGTGCCCATGTGACCACTCCAGATAAAAAAGTGACAGTATGGTGTTCTAATGATTACCTCGGAATGAGCAGTAACCCCCATGTTCTGAAGCGAATGCATGAGACCCTAGATATGTACGGTGCGGGTGCTGGGGGAACTAGAAATATTTCTGGCCATAATCAACATGCTATCAAGCTAGAGAAGACTATTGCTCGCCTCCATTCAAAAGAGGCTGCTCTTGTCTTTTCTTCATGCTATGTTGCTAATGATGCAACCTTGGCTACCCTTGGTAGCAAACTTCCTAACTGCGTTATCTTATCTGATAAGAGTAACCACGCCTCTATTATTCAAGGTATTCGACACTCAGGCGCTAGAAAGATTATATTTCGACACAATGATGTGGCTGATCTAGAGACGAAATTAATGTCTTTACCCCCTGAAATCCCCAAAATCATTGTCTTTGAGAGTGTTTACAGCATGTGTGGCTCTGTTGGCCCAATAAGAGAGATTTGCGACCTTGCTGATAAGTATGGTGCTATTACCTTTCTCGATGAAGTTCATGCTGTGAGCATGTACGGACCAAATGGGGCTGGTGTTGCTGAGCATCTTGATTTTGAAGCTCATTCTAATGGCCAACCCAAAGGTACCGTCCAAGATCGAGTTGACATTATCACCGGCACACTTGGAAAGGCTTATGGAGGTGTTGGTGGTTATATCGCTGGCTCCTCTAAGATGATCGACACCATTCGCTCCCATGCTCCTGGCTTTATCTTTACTACTGCCCTTCCTCCTGCGTCTATGGCTGGTGCTCAAGCCGCTATTGAATATCAGATGGCCAATGGAGGCGACCGTCGCCTTCAACACCTATATACCCGTGCCACGAAAGACGCACTCATTGCACAAAACCTTCCCGTTATACCTAATCCATCCCACATTATCCCTGTCTTGGTTGGAAATGCTGAATTAGCCAAGCGTGCATCTGATATGCTCATGAAGGACTGGGAAATTTATATCCAAGCCATCAACTACCCTACTGTCCCCGTGGGCGAAGAAAGGCTCCGTATTACCCCCACTCCTGGCCACATACAGGAATTCCGCGATCACCTTGTCACCGCTCTTAATTCCGTTTGGGATAATCTGGGACTTAAACGCAGCACTGAATGGGCGGGCTTCCTCGGCGTGGGCCAGGATCATAGCCTGGAGAATCAACCTCTGTGGACAGATGCTCAGCTTGGAATCGAGAATCTGAATGCTGATTTGGATCCTAATCCTGTTACTCAAAAGATTCTTGATGATGTTCCGGAAGCTGGGTCCAAGCGTGCCTCCCAAACTATGTGTGCTTAATCAGGGTACTTAGAACCGCATACGATGTTGTTAATTTTTACGTATCTAGCTATATAGTACTTTGCTCTGAATGAAACTCGTCGTCTCCTAGATTAGAATTCAATCTCTGAGTAATATGAGTAGGTTGTTATTTAACTAGAGACCTGATGAACACTAGATTAGTACATGATTATGACTACCCCTGTCAATTCCCTTTTACCCGCGCTGCAGATAACTTAGATCTAAATAGCCAAAGTCTTATCTATGGATTATAAACCTATTCAAATTCAATATATGACATCGAGTACCTATTCGGAAAATTTTAAGTGTTTTAGACAGGCTACGTGCTATACTGGTTTATCATCCATGGGATTCTTTGTCCCAAATCCTCCAGTATTATAATAAACCATCCCAAACTAAATATTTTCCTTGAGCACAAGATTTAAGGGTCTCTAAAGGTCTTTTATTTGGGTTTACTCAGCTTAACTAGTTGCTAAATTTTACATCTCTTGGGAGAGAATTATTATATTCTCCCACACCTTTATCCCCTTCCATTCCAGTACATCTCTGTGATTAAAATAGCCCCTGATTCCGTCCTGATTTAACTCATTATTAGGTTAATAAAGTTACTGTGGTTGGTCTCTTGATAAAACGATTACCGAGCCGCAGACCTGTAACCAGGAGTTTAATCCAAAATGGGCACGAGAGATGCGCGCGCTTCATCTGGGATCAGCGGTATTGATACTGGTAAATCAAGAGTAGTTACTAGAGAGTTAAGTACTTTGCAGTATAAACTCGCAATCTGGTTGATGACACCAGCTTGATACACTCTTGTGCTGTATCGAAAGTGCAGTTGCAACGCCTTCTTTCTGTTATTGGTCTGGGATTCTGATACCAAATCCGAAGGCCCAGGCAGGCACAGAAGCCACAGGTCTGTCTTATCATGTTGTTGCTCCTCGTAGATAGGATAAACTTCAAGGCCATTCTCATCATCACCAGTCATCCAAGTTTCTTTTTCAGAATTCACCATTGTGCCTTTGATAAAGTTGACAATGCTTGAGAACCTCTCATTCTTCCCCCAATTCGTGCATTTCGTAATGATGTGTCTGAAGCCCAAAGATTCGTGGGGGATGGCTGAGATTAGATCTGCTTGAATTGCCTTCAAGAGCTCTAGGTTGCTTAGACTCTTTGATATCTTGACCCGTACTGGCATAAAGTTCACGCAGGGGCCGACGACTGTCTCAATACTGGGTATATTTACCTGTCGCCCACCCACAAAGTCTCCAAAGACCACATCTGTTGACTGGGCTAGTGCCGAGATTGTCAAAGCCCAGGCTGCCTTGATGATGGCTGCGGTATTGATATCAAAATGTTGCAGGTTTGGCTCATCCACTTGACACTTGAGCTCTCCATCTAAGGTATTTTTGAAAGGGGATTCAGGGTTATGTCGCTCTACCAAATTTGGCATTTTGCTTCCTTCTAGATAAGCTTGCCAGTATACTTCTGCATCGTGGATGGTTTTTGGATCCTGGATTATCCTAGCATATTCGTAGAATGACAATGCCTGGGGTATCTGCTGTGAGAGGTAGAGTAGTTTAAGGGTTTGACCAAACATTGGAGCGCAAAAACCGTCATATTGAGCGTGCGAGAGTTTCATTATGAGCCTATGCCGAGTCAAGGACGCTTTGATGAGGTCAAAGCGTACAATTGGGCTGCCCAGGGGCGAAACCCGGTCTCTGGCGTAGATTCTGTTGCATGCACCCTCTAAATCTTCAATTGTGGTCTGATGAACTTCAAACTTAGGGTCAAATCCGGATTGGATTTCCGCGTAGACCCTGCCGTCAATGAGTTTAAACACTGTCTTCAGAATTGAGTGTGTCTCAACAAGTGCCTTGCAACTAATCTTCAGTCTTTCCAAGTCAAGTTTGCCGAGGAAGTCATATGCAAAGTGGTCGATCCATCCTCCATTGAGCGCGCCTACAAACGCAGCCCATTCTTGAAAGTCCGTCGCTTTCAAAGTGATTTCGGTATTCGGAGGGTGCGAATAGAGCTCATGGCTTTCCTTAGTCACCGTATCAGCAACTTTTAAGTCGATATGCAACGTTCTTGCGATTGCAGCCATGTCTTTCAAAACTGGATATCCCAGGATGCTCTGCGTGGTCAACTCAAGGCCCCTCGAGCGCATTGCTGAGACAAGCCTAATAGCTGCGAGTGAGTCGCCACCTAAAGCAATAAAACTGTCCCCTCTTCTTATGCTTTTAATGTCTTGACATAAGACTCTTGACCACAGTTCCGCTACGGTCTGCTCTTTATCATTTGCAGGTGGCTCTGGAGCTACTTTGCTAGCACCAAAGGAAGAGGCGATCAGGCACTTATAGCCTAGCTTGCTTGCGTCATCCCGGAGCTTTCTGCGATCCGTCTTGTTTGATGAATTTTGTGGTAGCCGCTCAAGAATGACGAATGCTCTGGGAACCATGTGCAAAGGTAAATATTTCTCGAGCCCTGTTTGAACCTTTGAAATCGATTGACGAGTATCAGGGTATTGGCCTGGGTCTCTATCACTCACATTCCCTAATGCTAGACAACAAAAAGCTGTCAAAAGGGGTAAATCCGGCGCATCGAACGGCTTCACTAGCTCAACAACGACATCCGATTGAGGCGGCAAAAGAATACGGAGGTTGGACTCAATGTCCTGTAAGTCAACACGCTGTCCATGGATCTGAAATCGGACGTTAGAGAGGTAAGGAAGATAGTTAGTACTAGTTATTATATTGTCCATACCTTAACTTGAGTATCTGCCCGTCCGTAAATCGATATACTACCGTCTGTCTCATATCTACCCATGTCGCCCATCCGTAGGTACCTGCAACCCCTAGCGGTCTCCCGATTTTGAGCCCATGTAGGAGGATTGATAAAAGTTTTGGCAGTTTTCTCTGGGTCGTTCAAATATCCAGCGGCTAGCTCATGACTTTCAAAAACGATTTCGCCCACTGCGCCTATAGGCACAAGTTTATTCACATCTTGAGGGTCAACGAGCCACGAAAGGCCGCCAACAGCGCGCAACCCTTTACCTTGATAGTTGCGATTATTCTCATCTTTGATCATGAATCCACCTTCGCTAGCTGGATGGAACAAGGTCAGTACCAATCGTTTATCGCAAGCTCGCGTTAGCACTCACCACCATAGAGTTGTATAAAGTGGACATGACTAGCCCAAATATTTTCAAGGTCGCGATCCACAGGCTCACCACCAACCACTAGATACTTCAAGCTTGGGACATTCTCGGGGTTAATAGTTCGAATTAGGGACGGAGTCATATAAGATCGAGTTGATCTCGACTGATTGATAAATCCCTCAAGATTAGATGTTCGCTCAGTATCGGACGGAACGCATAAAGTTGAGCCATGGAGCAAAGTACGAAAATTTTCCCTGTTGATGGTTAGTTAGCAGATGAAGGGTAACTAACTTAGCTAACTATTTTCAAAGTAAAGTGAGTTGGTCTTACCCGACACTTGCGATGTAGGCATAAGAAGCAAACTGTAGAACTCTTGCTTCTTTGTATTCACTATTCCATCCATAGGAGAGGTGTTCCGACGTCAAGCGATTGTGAGTATGCATGACACCTTTGGGCTTACCACTACTACCGCTAGTAAATGCTACAAAGGCTAGGTCATTGGGGCTTACACCAGCCATGCGCCATGCATCGTGTCGACTAACGGAGAGGCCTTCGGCTCCGAGGAGCTGGGGAAGCTGTTCTAGATCCGAGATCACCTCAACGCCAGGTATTTTAAACCTCGATGCATTAGCTTCATCGCTAATAACAATCCTAGCTCCCACCTCTTTAATGATTGCAAACAAGCGATCATCTGGATGTGTGGGATCCATGGATGTCAGGGCACCGCCTGCTTTCCAAACACCGTTCATCGCACATGTGCCCCATCTGCTCTTATTCATGCATATTGGGACGACCATGTTCCGGAGGAGGCCAAGTTTCATTAAGCGAATTGCAAGCACGGTACTAAGGTCATCCAGCTCTCTGTAGGTAAAACAGCCGTCGGAGGTATACACTGCTTCCTTCTCCGCGTTGTCATTGAAAACTTTCTCGAAATGTTCGTTCAAGGTCTGGTTGGCAATGGGTGGTACCCTGGCATTCCAGGAATGGATAAGCTGCTCATCACGAGTACCGATAAGATTGAGACTCTTCAAAAGACAATTCATATTGTTGGCAATGGCTTTCAGAATGCTTTCGAATGTAGAGAGAACGTTTTGTGCGCACCACTCATCCAGTAAGGATGTGCTGAAGTGCAGATTAACCTTGGTTTTATCGCCAGAGGCGGCTGCTAGAATATCACTTTCAACTTGGAGCACCATTTCGCTATCGAAAACATTCTCTAACCGCAGGCCATGCATAGCAGCGCGCGTGAGACACAGAGTCGCGTTGAAGTGTTTGAAACCATGCTGAGTCTCAAGCTCTCGAAGTTGCATTTCGATCATCTTTCCGTTCTGTCCAGTTAGAGGAGTGCAGGCCAGGTTCTTGAAGTTGTCAGATGCCGTAATCCTCTCATTGAAGTCCATCCTGAGAATATGAGCAGCGACCGACGGCCTCGGGACACCTTCTGTGCTCAATTCCGAGCAAGCCAAAAAACCGCATGATATACTATTAGCTCGAGTGTAAGCTTTAAGCAGCAATGCAAACGCAAATGCGCACAGGTAGTTGCCACCTAATTTTTGATCGGCTGACTGCTCTAGCAAGGCTTTGGGCACAGACATCCACGACGAATATGTTTTGATGGCGGGTATTGAGATCCGTTCAGAGACAAGGCATGGAAAATGGCAAGGCTCAGCGCTTGCAAGGGCACTAACAAACTCTTGTGAAGACATTGTAACAGTAGTTGAGAACGGATGCTGTGGGTAAGACTCAGGCTCCTAATAGTGGGATATTCAATGATTTCTAGGTCAATAGGTGTGAGAGATTCATTTTAATAGATGTATTCGTGATGGAGCTTTTAAAGGACATTTTTGTTTTTTGAAGAAAATATCAGATGTCTAGTTACTTTTACATCTTTTTAGCATTAAGTTGGAACTATTAATTAAGGAGTTACTACTGAGCTGTGCACCGGTAGTAGGTTGCTGAGCCAGGGTGTAAGGCTCTCGAGCGACCTCATTTAGTTCGTGGTGTTATGCTATCCTACTTACGGAGTACTTGGATGTATTTGTTGCCGGCTATCTTTAAATAAACTAAGTTACGGAGGAGTTAGTTAAACTAACTAGCTATGAATAAGGTTGAGGCGGGAACTGTAACTAACTAACTAACTAGTTGACTGGCTGGTGGATCTACGGGGAGCTCGGAGGTTCCGACAGACTTCGGAAAGGCCGTTGAACCGGGCTGGAAAGGAGATCGTAAACTCCGACGAACCAAATTCTTAAGCGGCTCACATAGAGTCAGTTAGTTAGTTATATAAGTAGTTACAGTAAAACCACTTTTATTTGTACTCGGTAGTTACTTAAACCCCTTTTGAAAGGTACTAAATATTTGATACTCAAGCGGGATATCCCTGTGTTCTGGCACATCAAATCAACGGGAAGATGGCGGGTACAATTATTGTGAGGAATGAAGATAGTCATGAGAGTAGGCGAATATCTCCTGCCATCGCTTGTGGGTTTTCAATGCTATGTACCTGCAAAATTCACTCACAAATCTCCCACTCTACAGCTCGATTCCACTGCAGATGGCACTTCAACGACACCGTCACAGACGCGTCGGGCATTATTTCCTGGCAGTCAATGGACATTTTTCTTAAGAAGGTCACTGGGTTCCCTCCGTTTTCATGGGCTACGGGTGTAAAAGAAACGTCTCTATGGATCGAGGTCTCGGCAAACGAGCAGTGTCAAATTACTCCGCAAAATTTTGGGTCTCCTGCAGCATTTCGCTTTATGATAGACTGTCTCTCAACTTCAGAAACAAATGAAAGGGTGGCAAGATTAGTGATACCACGCACTCGTGGATACATTACGCGATCCGATATCATTCCGTTACGTTTACTAGACTGCCCACTGATTGATAGCGCTGTCGGATTTGCAAAGCCACTGCAAGTTTTCGACGGAGAGCCGATCCATATTGAGACGCTACAGCAAGTGCCAGATGCGTTCGCAGCATCGGCCGGAGGCATGCTGTTGAAAGATACCCACCCAAGTACGAATAACACACTTGGCTTGCAAACACATCTTGATACGGAATTGCGTAATAGGTTATCGTTTCCTTGGATATCGACAGAAGAACCAAAGCGTAGGACACTTGCCCTTGTTGAAGGAGGTCGTCGCAGCCCCGACCATGGAGGGAATGGCGAGACTGTATTCACGGCGGCAGAGGCACTGGGAATCGACATGGTTGTGCTTGATAATCCTGGACATTGGCTAGATGGACCACGCTGGGCGCACTGGCGTAAAGCATTTATTCCTGTCGAGTGCACGTTGCAATCCGATGCAGCGTTTACACGCCGAGTTGTTGACGCGCTCCGCTCGTACGATGGCCACCTTGATGGCCTTGTGACCTTCTGTGACCATTACAAGGAACCAGTTGCGGAAGCTGCCCTACAATTATCATTACCAACATGTTCTCCAGAAGTATATGCACTCGCCACGGATAAATACAGGTTAAGCCGCTTTGAAGGTCATGAGGCGTACCGAGCTTCAGATCTAGAAGAGGCTACCTATGTCGTCCAAGAGCATAACCTCGAGTTTCCATTAATTATGAAACCATGTACAGGGTATCTCTCGGAAGGTGTATCTCGAGTTGAGAGTCTCCAACAGCTCGAGGCTAGTATACGAGCTATCAATGTTGAACGCCATGGAGCAGCCTTTACTCTGGAGAAGTACTGTGACGGGCCTGAAGTGGATGCAAACTTTATACTCTGTGATGGGGAGGTACTCTTTTTTGAAATCTCTGATGAGTTTCCCAAAGACGCAGATATAAATGGCCAAGGAAAGACCGGCTTCATGGAGCGGGGGAATATACTCCCTTCGAAGCTCCCGGATGACGAACTTACTCTTATTCGAGATTCATTGCATCGAAGCTTGATTCAGGTCGGTCTTCAAGATGGAATATATCACGTTGAAGCGCGAGTTCAGCACTCAAGGATGGAATTTGCAGTACGGGATAATATACTAGACTTAACCGAACGGTCAACTCCTACCAAGGAAACACCCTCTTCCTGGTTGATTGAAATCAACCCACGACCACCCGGGATACAGGCTTCAGACGCATTAAAGCATACATATGGAATTGATTACTGGGGACTTGGGTTGCTCTTTGGGGTTGAAGACATGCAACGCGTCCGCGAACTCTCATTCCCATTTCTACAAGGTGCACAGTACTGGTGTGCGATGGTATTTATAGCAGCTGACAAAGGTGGGGTGTATAATTCAGGGAATGTATGCACAGAACTGCTTGGTAGGCGGCCTGACCTTGGAGGTTGCGTCTCGTGGAGTCATTGCTTCTTAAGTAAAGGCGACCGCGTTCCGGACCCTAGCACGGGAGTGAACTCGTGGGTAGCGCATTTCAACGTCTTTTCACGGACGTCCCGGGAACACGTATTGGAAATTGCGGAATGTATTAGAAAGGAGGTAAGATACTCCATTGTGTAGAAGGCAACATGTGAGGAGCAAAGATAGATCAAGCTAAACATAATGCACCATCGACTATCTTCTACCCCCTTGTTTTCTACAACTTCACTGATGTAGCGAAGCCGAAGCCTATTAGTTAAATATAGTTAGGGACATGTCGAATACAAGCGGCGCAGTGAGAGTACAATTGGACGAACAAATGTGGATATTCAATAACCCTCGAGGACCAATACAGATGAAATTTCTACTTGGTCATGGGGATACGTCAGCTTGCGTAGATGGTACGGTCAGGTAAGATTTTTCTAGGAGCTGGTTGATGTACCACCATGAGACAGAAGTGCCCTCTACTTTAACATATTACCAACTGAATTTACCTAGGATAGCCTCAAATCCGAAGTTACATACTCCAAGTTCATTTTTGCACCACAATATGGGTTATCAGACGGGGGTTCCACCCCGGAGACAATGGTACAAAAAATGCAGCCTTTGTCTAAAAAGAAGCCGGTTATCATTGGATTGTACGGAGTTTCTGGCGTTGGGAAAACAACTCTGTTGAATCAGTTGAAGCAGATACTCAAGGAAGAGCATTTTCTGCTCTATGAAGGCTCACAGGTGATCGATGATGTTACTCCTAGAGGCCTCGCCCAGTTCAAGGGCTGGGATAGAAAAAGGCAGATGACCTCGCGCAAAGACGCAATTGACTCGATCAGGAGGGCCTGCATCTAGAGTAAAAAGGCTGCTATCGTTACTGGCTATTTCAGTTTCTTCGACGGGCAAGATGGCGAAGCTGCGCTCCCCATAATCACCAGCGATGACCTTGACACGTACACGCACATTTTATACTTGGATGTCCCACCCGAGGTATTACTTGAGCGTCACACTCGTGACTACAACAGGGTTCGCTCTCTTATCAGTATAGAGAATCTACACATATGGCAGGAGATGGAGATATCACAACTTCGGCCGCTTTGGCTACAGCATGGTATTTTGTTCATGCGTATGACACCCGAACCGGAGTTGCAGAGAAGGGTATCGAACCTGTTATGTGATTTACGTATATATAACAAGGAAATTAACCTGGAATGCGCCAAAGCACGTATGGAAGCCATGATCACTAAGCCGCCATTGACAATGCTTGTCCTGGATGCGGATAAGACTTTATCTGAAAAAGATACCGGTGTCTTATTCTGGGAAAAGGTCGGCTCATCGAAGGCCAAGGATGCTTCGTTGAAGAATATTTTCAGCAGCAGATTAGGGTATTCATACACTGCTTTCCGCCAAGGCCACATTGCTTAATGAGGAGTCAGGAGACGACCGGGAGTTCGATATGATATGCAGCGAGGCGGCAGCGCAAGTATCTGTGTACCCTGAATTTTTTTGTCTGCTGCACCATGTCGCATAACAGGAGCATGTCGGAGCTGTAGTCGTTACATGCGGCATACAGCGCGTGTCGGAAAAAGTGTTGGAGAAAGAAGGGCTGTCCGGCACTGTTAAAGTCATCGGAGGAGGTAGGATTGTCAATGGCTTGGCCGTCACGGGCGCATGAAGGGGGACTTGGTGGGATATTTGCAGGACAAGTACCATATGGACGTCTGGGCGTTTGGTGACAGTCCGCTGGACATGGAAATGCTGAAGCGTGCTGACAAAGGCATCGTTGTGGTTGGAGCAGAGGCGACAAGAAGTAAGTCCATGGATTCTGCCTTAATTGAGGCTATCGAAAGCGACGGGGCTCGCCTGCAACAACTTGTTTTACCTCGCACCACACCGATATGGCTGGATTCCAAGAGGTTGCCTCCATTGGATATTACCGGTGCGGGTTTCGTGGACTTCGTTCCGTTTCCTTCACCGCCCTCAATCCAGCTAATTCATGCAACGGAAAAGAGCGCAGCTAGATTGCTCATGACCGGGATGCGAAATGCAAGTGTTGTTGGTCTAGATCTCTGCAGAGCTCATAAGTTCGTGGGAAAATACCTAGCAACTGAACTCTTGTCTGACATCATTGGTGTCGAAGAGTACTCCATCCCACATGTCCTAGGCTATGAGACAAGCGGTCATCAGCTGTACCATGAAGGCCAGACACTGATCATGGCAGTGATGCGTGCGGGAGAGCCCATGGCTTGTGGTGTTTGGGATACTTTTCCTAAGGCAGCTTTCCTTCATGTGAAGTTTCCGGAGGATGTCAAACCTCACCATGTAGAGGGGAAAGTCACGATTATCCTGGTTGACTCGGTGATAAATAGTGGCAAGACAGTAGCTGAATTTTTGGAGCGAATCCAGAAACTGCACTCGACCGCTGGCATTGTGGTGGTAGCTGGTGTTGTCCAGGCTGAGTGTATCTCCAGCCAAACCCTTACTCACAAGTTGCGTCACGGAGCAAAGGTGAGCGTTGTTGCTCTCCGGATATCGCAGAACAGGTACACAGGCAGAGGCACTACCGACACTGGGAATCGTCTCTTCAACACGACCTCCTTGCCTTGATCATTTTATGTGATGTTTCTGCATGGGGTATTAAGTAGATAATGAAGCTGGGATAGCTAGGCTAAATGCCACTGGTCAACTTAGTTCTTAACCAATACTTGAGAGTTCTTGTATCGCACTCTAGAATTGAAAATTAGATGCTCTCTCCTCTCTTTCTTCTGCTTGAAACTAGTCAATACTCCGTACTTCGGTGGTGGATGTAGGTGAAGTTGATATTCTATGTCGCGACGTTGGCCCAAGCGCGTTCTATACCACGTGACATTGATTAGTCAACATCCCCGCTCATGGCCTGATGCGGGTTAGCGCAGAAGCCGGAAAGAAGAAGGAAAAAAAGAGGAAGAAAAGCACGAGATGAACTTTCAAGACGGACGAACAAGACGACGAGGAGAAGAAGGCGAAGAAGAAACACAATCAACCAACTGTCAACTCCCAACTATCAACAAGCAAAGGAAGTCGGTCAAGAGGCCCGACATCTCGCTGATTGCTTAATCCAAAGGATGCTGATGCATTGAAACGATGAAGTTCTTCGAGAACAATTTCAACTACGACTACTCCTTCCCAGCCGTTACGCTTGCATACTTCCTTCGGTATCCCAACCCTTACTCTCGCCATGTCCTAGCCTCAGACGTGATCGACCGGTATGTCGACCCGGTCACGCAGCGGCTACACACGACGAGGCTGCATCTGAAGAAGTCTAAGGTCCCCTCGGCCATGCTGAAACTGCTGCCAAAGGGAATCGGCGGCGCGGACAACTCAGGTCAGAGCGTGATTCTCGAGACCAGTGTCATTGATGTCAATGAAGGATGGATGCGGACAGAATCTCGCAATATGGAGTGGACGGGGGTTCTCAGCGTGGTAGAAAAGCAGGAATACCACCGCTGTCGTGCTGAGAACACAGATTTCTCTACATCTTCTTCCTTGCCTGCTCTCTCCGGCGGCCTGGGCATTGACGATAATATGAAAGGCGAATGTACGTCGGTGAAAACTACGGTCACATTTAAGTCTCGTCTAGGCCAGAATATGCTCGGCCGGTCGAAAAAAGATACCATGGTCGAAGACGAGGCTCCCAAGAAAGGGTTCTTTGCTTCCTGGTCCACCGCTGGCATACAACGAACCATTGAGCTCATTGGAGTGAAACGGACGCGGGACGCTGTCCTCCGCAGCAAACAGGGCATGAACGTTGTCCTGGAGCGGCTTCGGAACGGTGGCATAGTTGGTGTCGTGGAGGGCATGAGACAAGACCGAGAGGGCATTCCTGCGCATGGAGGCCCATGGAAACAGGTCTGGCTACATGGCACCCAAAATGAAGGACACTACGACGACGAGTGATTGCCTCATGCCATTTGTCCGGCATGTGCAACTACCACATACCTCTACTTGGGCACACACTTTCCACTTTCCGTGGACTCTTCTACTGTATTATTTCCCATTATTTCTTGGCTTAGCATGGTGTTCTTCGGTGTTTTCTTCCCACGGACAATCTCCCGACTCTTCTTCTCACAATCACATATCTTTTCATCTTTTATTTGCGCTAAATCTCTTGCACACCCTTCGATTATTGACTTCTGGTGTTACATCAGCGCTTCATCATGCTTTTCTTTTGACGAGTTTCAGCAATGCAAAAAACAAAACAAAAAAGTTGGGTTGCTGATAGGCAATGCTTTTATGTACAATAGCCTTTATTCGGACGACTACGGCGTCGGTACTTCGTGTGTACCAAACCTGTTTTATTATGAGTGAGATTTGAGTAAAAAATCAAGCTGTTAATGTTACTCTCGTGCTGACATATATCCATTGCGTTTCTAAGGTTCTAAATCATGCTTTATATAAAGATCTGACTCTACTCCGTACAGGCGCCTAAACTGGAGGGGATGGGAGGCCTATGCCAACAAGAATGGCGGGCTGGTTGATATCATGATGGTCATAGCTATGGCAGGCAAGAGTCAGACCTGCATTATCAAACGAGGCACCATAGAACATCTGATGACTCACCTGAGGACACCAATACCGCCAGCTTCGAGCATCATACGCAAAGGAAAACCGATAGGAATGTTCAGCCATCTCTTAACAAATGCACGCAGAAGATGGCCGTGTGCAAACAAGATTATATTGCAAGCTTTCTCTCCATTGATATTCGGACCCTGAATGCCACGGATCTCTTCGATCAAGCTGTCAACCCTTTCCGATACCTGCTCGGGTGACTCTCCTCCTTCACATCCGTCTTGCCAGATATTCCAGTTCCTCTCCTTGTCCAATCCTCGCTCCTTTCTCATCCTTTGTATATCAGCCGAAACTAGGCCCTCGTAGTCACCATAATCCCACTCTGCCAGCCTCTCGGTCCTTGAAATTCGACCATTCCCGGCCAATGCATTCCTATCAGCTTCCGTGATAGCCAGTTCAAATGTCTGGTATGCCCTTTTGCGGGGACTTATGTAGACATGCGCAACCTTAGAGATCTCTATCAACTTGTTGGGTCCGATGAGCATCCTCCCTGATGCCTGGATTTGCTGCACGCCCCGCGCCGTGAGCTCGATGTCTGTTTTTCCGGTGTGCTGGCCAACCTTGCTCCACTCAGTCTCTCCTAGATGCCCTGTTTAATATCTGTGTTTATACTAAGAGAATCACAGGGGGTATCAGTAGAGGGCATAGCTACCATGGCGGCATATATACACTCGAGGCGTTCCTGCGGATTTATCAGACATTGTGCAAAGGTTCAACAGCCTCTGTAGTGGCTTTATAGAGGATGGCTAGAAGTACTTCTCCCGCAAATCTTCGGCGAGATATGGAAATATGGAGAGGTTATGTGGCCTCCAGCTTTGGGTAGGGCTTTATACAGCGAAATCTGGGCTCCTTTGACTGTCAGTCATGCTTCTATTTGTTTGAATTTGAGGAAGATAACTAAGGCATTGAGTTATTGGAGCCGTTAGATTATTGCCTTTGCATTGGAGAGCTGTATCGTATCGACAAGTTGAAGCTCGCTGGAGGTATAATAAGGTTGCTTTCAACAGGGCACATACCGGTTACCAATAAAAGTCACGACAAATATAAATATGTAACTAACTAGCCAGGTCGCTTTAGTTGTGCCTACTCCGCCCCAAATATGTTTACAGTAGATAATATCCAATCTGAATATATAAAATATAGACATATATCGACTTCATCGACTTCACCAACTTTCAGCCTCTTGACTTTCGAGGCAAATGATAAGCGCGGGGTTTAGTCATGTGACATATTTAAACTTTTGAAGCTAGTCAGCAAGCTACGCTTAACTTTATGACTAAGGAAATCGATTAATCTAAAGAGGCAGGTGTACGTTCCTTAGCTGCTAGATATAGCGCGGTCCCCTGGCCCCTTGTCAGGTTCCTTGGAACTAACTCCGTCGGGCGCCTACTCTGTACGATTTCACGACATCGCGAGGAGAAACGTCGTCAGCGACAGCAGGATAATAAAAATTATAGTCGCGAGAAGAGCAAACATCTACGGAGTACTTATTTACAGATTAACAAGGCAATAGTTACACCCAACACGACCCCCTTGAGACTGCGCAGTGCTTTTTTGCCTCCGCCTAGTTACAATGGCAAGTCGTTGAGCGATCATTCCAACAGCTTACCACGCGCACCACCCCAGAGCCTATCGAGCTCTAGTCGATGGGAATTAGATATATTCTCGGTGTAGCGGCACCAGTTTGATAAACAACGCCATTCCCCCTTATCTGAAGTCATCCGCGCATTCACACGCACTCTCACCATGTCGGCGGCCTTCGACGACGAAGATCTCTCAATTTCCCTTCCTTCGTATGAGCAGAACCGGAATAGAAACCCTCATGGACACCCAAGCATCCCGCAGCAAGCTCCACGACATGGAAACGAACGGCTCGATCAGTCTCCAGCCACCGCTCGAGACATGCAGCGCCTCGATCAATACACCGCAGTGAGGAACCTGGGTGAAGGAACCTTTGGAAAGGTTAAGCTTGCCACTCACAGAGCTAGCGGGCGCCCAGTAGCGCTCAAGATCATACCCAGGCGGAAACTACAGTCGAGAGACATGGTTGGGAGGGTTGAGCGAGAGATCCAGTATCTCCAGCTCTTGAGGCACCCCCATATCATTAAACTGTAAGCTGGAGTATCCATTTTTGATATGACGGTATAACTAATATGCTAATGGCTCCAATCTCGTAATAGATATACGGTGATTGCTACCAAGACAGACATTGTTATGGTCCTGGAATACGCGGAACGGGAACTGTTTGACTATCTCGTGAAGAGAGGGAGGTGCAATGATGACGAAGCTCGCATCTTTTTCCAGCAGATTATATGCGCCGTGGAATACTGCCATCGACACAAAATTGTTCACCGAGATCTTAAACCCGAGAATCTCCTTATCGACAAGGACAAGAATGTAAAGATTGCTGATTTCGGTCTGAGTAATATCATGACCGATGGAAATTTTTTGAAAACAAGCTGCGGTAGTCCTAATTATGCGGCTCCGGAGGTTATCTCTGGCAAGCTTTACGCGGGGCCAGAAGTCGATGTATGGAGCTGTGGAGTCATTCTTTATGTGCTTCTGGTGGGGAAACTACCCTTTGATGATGACTACATTCCATCTCTCTTCAAAAAGATATCTGCCGGAAACTTCCATATGCCATCATACATATCCTCGGGTGCCGCCAATCTCATCAAACACATGCTTCAAGTCCATCCCGTACATCGAATCTCTATACCCGAAATACGACAGGATCCATGGTTTTTAAAAGGTCTTCCAAAATATTTACAGCCACCGGTCGAGGACTTTGTTGGCACCGGTGCGGACCCGAATAAAGCAATTGACCCACGTAAAATTGCCCCGGGAAGATCTGCTGCTATACAGGAGCGTATCCATGAGAACGCAGTAAACAAGCTTGAGCGAAGAATGGGCTATGGCAAGGATGATATCCAGGATGCTTTGAGGAAACCCGAGCCTAGTGCCATAAAGGACGCGTTCTTTATTGTGGTCGAGAATGAGATGATGCAGATGAACTGTAATAATCCCCTTCATATACCCTGTATTGCTACTCGTATCCTACTCTGCTAACTTCAAAACAAGCCCCCGCTGAAAATGAGGCTAGCCACCCATCTGTTATCCCGTTCGGGGCAGGCCCGTCTCCATCTTACCGACCAGGCCAAAATTCTAATCCTGACATTGGTGCTCAGGACTCACCACTTGCCCCGTTAACCCCTTTCCAGACGCGTACATCTTCAAGCACGCCCTCCCAAACTCCTTCTATCGGAGGAACAGAGGACACTCCACGAATAAGCCACGTACGGATTCTACCAACTAGTTTACCATATGTACATGACCAAATAATGAAGCAACGAGCAGAGAAGAGCCTGCTTCGCGAAGGTGAAGAAGATGCGTTATTGGAGGAAAACCGGGGTAGATCATTGCAACCGGACGGGAAGGAATCCGAGAGTGATATTAATAAGGAGCGCTCTCCTGAAGAACAAGCTGCAACTGCCCGGTCTCTTCGGCCCCATTCACGCAGCAAAGTTGATTTGGACAAGTTACAATACCAAAAGCCAAACACCACGGCTCCGGCAGCCCCTCCACCCAAGCGTTCTCGAAAATGGCAGTTTGGAATACGTTCTAGGAATCAACCCTATGAAGCAATGCTGTGTCTATACAAGGCAATTCAGGCGGAAGGAGGTGTTTGGGAAATCCAGCCTGCCGAGTCTGGTATGTTTTTTGACATCGATACCGATGTCAACGCACTATTGCTAACATTATTCTAGATGTGAATGACTCTGATGGCGGCAGAACCCCGCAAATGACAGCGGAACTTCCGCAGGCATTGCAACACAAATATCCTGACTTGCCACCAGATTATTATATCCCCAAGGATTTATGGTTTATTCGTGCGCGGCTATTGAAGCAAGGCGTTCTAGCCCCTGGCCCGTCAAGCAGCGCTCACTCTAGCCGCAGTGATCTAGAAGAGTTCCGTCGCCGCGTGAGTCTAATAGGTGGTATATTTCACCCAGAGGATAAGACGGCAGCGTCGGCAGCGGCCCTCGCTACCGCAGCAGCTGCAGGTGGTACCGCCTTATCGTCGGCTCATTCGTCTCACCCTGCACTCCTTTCCTACGGGGTGTGGGTTTTCATCGACATCCAACTATATCAGATCGAGTCGAAGAACTACATGGTGGATTTCAAATGTGATGGCTACCAGAATGTCATCCAGGTCGCTCACGAAAACAACACCACCACAGATTGGAGACCAATAAGCAAGCGAATACGGAACAAGGAAAAAGAGGTGACGAGCCCTTATCCTTTCTTGGACGTAGCGTCTGATCTTGTTGCGCAATTGGCCGTTGTTAGTTGATTTATACCCCATGTACCAGCGTGCGCTTCATCATTCCAACAAATCTCTGCCCACAAGCAATCTTGTACCTTTATCAAATGAACAAAACTTTTGCAAAATGCCTACACATGATATCAACTGGTTTTCAAGGTTCTGATGACGTCTACGGGTCGATTTAAACTCATAGATAAATGATTGTCCGGAGGCGAATAGCCAACTTTATTACTAAGCTGTATCCAACTCGTGTGCAAGCGAAAAGAGTGGCTATCAGACTTGGTCTAGAAGAAGCGGAGCTGCTTATAGAACTCTTTGTGCCCGCAAAACAAACAAAGCGCTGTTCTATATGGAGCCATATGACGTCTTCTTACTGTGACCGGCTTTTTGTCTATTCCCTCTGGAATGGATTTGAAATCACTTCCCCCCCAGTTTCTTTATAACCTACAACTAACGATTACCGGCAATAATTGATCAGATACTGTGATTTTCACAATTACTTCACGCTTGAAAATACTGGAATTTGCTCTGCTGTATCTTCCGATATACTCTCTAGACCCAGGTCGGAACGCTATCAGCATTTCTCGAATCTATATAGGAGACCAGGCCTTTGAATCGTCACAATGCCTGATGCGGCAAAATGGGGCAGCGCGGCCCTTCGGTTCATTCAGGTATAGCAGCTCTAAATCTGATTTTACCAACGAAAATTCGCTGGAACTGACCCTCCCATCTGTAGCTTGCCCTTGCGGTCATTGTTATGGCCCTGATAGGAAATATGATTGACGATGCTATACGCGGCAGCTCGTCAGTGGTCAACTACAATTTATTCGTATCAGCATTTATCTTGTTGTCCTTACTCTATCTTATTCCGGCATCACTCAGCGACACGGTCATGTTCCATCCTGTCCTAACGTTCATTATCGATGCCCTCTGCTGTGTCTTTGCCTTCTGCGGAGCTATTGCTCTTCCTGCCAGACAGCACGTGCATAGTTGTTCTAACAGGGTATGTGAACGGCGATACTTCAAGTTGCCAACCTATTGTTCTAACATTGAAACAGGCATACACCTCCACCAACCCGGTGAGCAGAGGATCGAAATCCCTGGAGAAAACTTGCCGTGAAGGTCAGGCAGCCACTGCATTCTTGTGGTTCTTGTGGTTCGCCTTTTTGCTGTCCACCCTATATTCCCTCTGGCGTGTCAAACAGCGCTACTCCGGAGGTGGAGACCGCCAACGCACATCACCCAACCGTGGACAAACGCCAACGATGTCCCAGGTATAAGATTTGCCGGGTTTCAGGCTACGATGGGTTCTAATATATGTTACCTATGCCCAAAGTAAAGGTTATACCTGTCTTTGGTCTTGTAACCCGATTGGAAGGGGGTGGGATTGAAAATTTTCAAGTATACAAGGATTTTCGGGTGTCTATACGCATAATCCTCGTGGTTTCTTGCATTCTACTCTACCAACCGAAACCTTAGTGTTGTGGCATCTTAGTATTTATGAGGAAAAGCATGTGCTTTATCCTGTCTTTTTAATCGTGTTTTATAATTTTTAATAGTTAGCTTTCATTCGACCCATCAATATTCCATGTCCACCATCGATTAGTATGCCCTAATCCACCTTTTTCTTACATGAGTAGACACTATTGGCCAGTTTGGCTATCCGTAGTAAGATAACTTGTCTCAGTTTCTCTTGAGGCAAGATCAAAGGCATTTATTTTCACTCCATGAAGTTATTCACATTTTTCATTACCTATATACAACGCAGGTAACAATAGGGGATTTAAAACGAAAATTAGTACTATGTAGTCCATAAAATGTACTTCTTGAGTAGTATACATCCTGCTTGCGGCCTCTTGGAAAAAAAGCTGAAGCTGTATTTGCAATTAAATATCTAATTAATCAATCACCTGGAGACCCCGGCTTCCTCCCACGGCTTGCCATGGCTTTTAAATACAGCTCCGGGGTTATTGCTGACCTAGAGAATCTATTGGAGTTCAGTATACGCGGTGATGCATTCACTCTTAACCTCCTCGATCTGATGCGTAGCCAGCAGTTCCGAAAGAAAATATGCTGTTAACGGCTAATGAAAGTTGACCTGGGACAATTATCTTCCGTCCAGATTGAGTTTCTTGAGATTATTGGTGTTGGAGGGTGGTTTGCCGTCCTCCTTGGTGAGCAGTCGGGTTCTCACTCGTATCTTTCCAGGCACGTAACTTCCCATCTTGAAGAGCTTCTTCTTCAATCCCTTCATCCAAGTGTGGTAGATGTTGAACTCCAAAGACTCCAAATCGTGCTTGACTATCTCCAAAAGACGGTCGTATTCGTAGTTGTCGGTCTTTTGGGCCTTATACCAGTCTTGTAGAGAAACTGGGGAATAATTGTTGTTCTGATTGCTACATTCTTATTCACCAACGCTTTTCTTGGAGAGGTCATTACCTATGGAGCTGGTGGAAAGACTGTTTCCTTGCCTCTCTTGCTCAATCATGTCATTCCCTTGTTCCTCCGGATACCCTTGAACCTTTGATACAGAAGATTGCAAATAAGTTTAAATGAGGCCTGGCTGCCGGAACTGCTCCAATTATGGTGTTACATGCAGCTATCCTACAGATCCCAGTGGTGGTACCGAGATGGGAACCGTTGGCCCCCTGGGTGATCGCATCCCAGTCCAACCACGCCCAAAGCAATATGCTTTACTACACTTGCTGCAGTTTGACGATGGACCTGGTCTCGGTCAATCAAAGCGTCCAATGCATGTCTGAACTGTACCGTAACGGGAGAAGAGCGATCGGAGATGAGACTCAGATGAGCTATCCACCATGTGTTAGAAAAGCTATCAAACAAGCTAATGTACGAATATCTTCTTCAATTTATCCGCCTGGCGCTGTGGATTAGACGAGCTCGTGGAATCAAGCAGGCTTTTGAATTTGCCCTTTTGAATAACTAGTACTAGTACCGGTAATAATAGTTAGGGAGATTATATTATTAATAGCAAGGCCCTGGAGGCTAGTTAAGTAGCTATAACTACTACTTAGAGTAGTACCTAAAGCGCTGACGCAGTTACAATTACCTATAATAATAAGTAAGCTCTTTTATAAGGTAGCTTCTATGATCTCAGAGATTAAAGCCCCGCCTTTAATAGTCGCCTCTATACTTAACTACTCTATCGAATATATTCCTTCTCGTCCGGATTAGTTGGAACTGTGATCAAAGCTGAGCTGGACAACTTGGGCGCCAATCCATCTTTCAGTGATACAAAAAAACATCCAAAGCGGCAGATCCGGAAGAAGGCATGAGACCCTTGCCCTTGAACTGCCAGATAGCTCTCTATTTGATCGATGCCGCTACCAAGTCCGATTTGAGGCGAAGGAGCAACTGCTACAGACCTGGGTGGGCAGCCATACATTGGGCAGCCGCTAGTGGCATCGTCCCGGTGGTTAGAAGGCTACTTCACAAATTGCTCGGTGTATGTTTTCTGACTCTATCTTAACGCCTGTATCCGTCTATTGGGCTAATATGAATATAGTCGGGCTTTTTTAAATAACTTGCAGTAAACACCAAGATCTAAATCGCAGCACATCAATCTTCGCTGCACTTTTCTGGGGTGCATTTTCACCCAACAGCATTCCAGAGTGATGGCTGTCCAACATGGTGTCAATGATTTGTCCAATTAAAATAGACTCCTTCGAGGCCCCATTGCAGTTATTTAATAAGGATATAACCTCGGTTCACTTAAAGTAGTTATCTAAGTCGTCTGTGTGTATAAACCCCAAATGGAGATGGCAAGCGCTCGATGGCGCACTTCTACCCGCGTTTGCCTTGCCTTCGTTCTGAATAGACTTCTTGAGCCATAAATTCAGCTCGCAGGGCAGCTTGCCATTTGGCAAACTGTTTCTGGTATGTGTCTGAGTTGGAGACTTGTGAAACGGGGGTCGGCATGGCTGTCGAACTGGCTTGCAAGCGGTGATAACGTTAATGGTCCGGATATATCATTTCTGGCTCTTTGCGAATTAGTTTAATGTTGGGCAAGTCACGCAACTTTTAAGAGGTGGTTGGCAGACTTCTATGCTGGAAGAACTAGGATAAGTCGTCGCTCTAAGTACCATTAGGGATAGGAATATTAGCAGGACAAATCAGAAAATAGAACTAGTGAGGTATGGCTAAACCCACCTCATAGATATGACAGCCATAGCAATAAGAGACCTCGTCTGTCAACCTGACTACTACCTCATGTGGGTTCTCAACGATGGTTTCGAGGATAAGGATGCCGTCTTGAATATTGACAGTTATTTTAGGGCCTCTATCTGGGTAAAAGTTGTCAAATTCTTGAAGAATTGTATAGTATTTCCCAAGGACAGTGTGTTGAACAAAAAGAGAGACATTTGTCAACTATATAGCATAATGAATCTGCTATTGTTTAATATCCCCGAACGCAATGTGTTGAACGGAAAGAGAGCTGTTCACAGGGGTATTTTTTCTTATATTCCCTTATATAACCACCGGGGCCAGTGTGTTGAACTAAAAGAGAGAGTCTGTTAATAACGTTGGATGCAATGGTATAGCTTTTATAACCGGCAGAGGCAATGTGTTGAACAAAAAGAGAGAGCCTCTGCCAGCACGGTAACCCTTATAATATTATTCCTTTATAGCCAACCAAGGAAGTATGCTGAGCAAACCAAGAGCCTTTCCGTTAGCAATTGTAACTGCTATGGTATCATAACTCTTTGGCTAGTACTGCCCGACAGCCGGCTACAGAGAAGACTATCAGTGCATCCTGTGGGCAAGAACACCTCCTCTATATATTCCAGCGAGTATCTATTAGCAGTAGGCCAATAGATATAGGGTAATGGCTGAATTATCCTCCATCCATCCGTGTATATCAACTTTGTATAGTAGCAGAGGTCCAATGTAGCTTCACTGTAACTTCCACATGCATATGGCGTCACTACCCATATATAGTTTGGGGAGAGCATCTTGATCTGTATATCAATATATACTTGCTCTCTGTCGCTATAGTCAATCACCATTCTATGGAAGCGGTGGCGATATATGTTGGTTCCATCATTGATAGCCCCCATATCTCTTACTGCTGTATGTGTAATATCTCGCTGTAAAAGCTCTTGCACCTCAAACGGCTCCTACGCTTGTCTCATGCGTAGGAGGCCCTTTAAACTCCGTAGTACAGAGACATCAGTATTAGTCAAGATGATGCCGTATCGTGTATTACGCTGCTTCATATAGAAGTTTAGGATGTGTTGAGCAAAATGAGAGAAGTTCTGCCAACAGTGAAGCCTCTATGTTGTTATAGCTTTTATAACCACCGACGGAGGCAGGCAGTGTGTTGAACCAAAAGAGAGAATATCTGCCAGTATGTTCGCCTCTAATAAAGTATCGTGGATGGGTGTATTTAAAAATATGCCACAGTAAGTGGGTATCTGCCCCATATAATCTCTGGCTCGTATGATATAGCCTTTATGTAAGTTGGGGCAATGGCTCTGAAGGCTATCTCGATAGTCCGCGCCTGGATAAACCCGATACGGCCATGTGTTTATAGAGCCTTAAAGATGACCTCTTGTTGGTATCATGGAGGTATAGGTAAATTATCCGGGTCACTTGTATGCCAAAAAAAGCCGTTGCTTCTGTGCTAATTCATGTGACATGCGAGTCTCTGCTTTGAAAGGGACACCAATGTCATGGTGGTTGCGTTGCTGTTGAACCGTGGTCCTAAGCTAATAGTCATTCTCGTCGAGAAAGCTTGGGTCTCCGAGCTCTTAGTAACAATACTTGACCCATCGAGAGCTGTGTTCATAACCTGTGTAAAGGTTGAGCTTCCATTAATGACCATTTTGGTCCTGGTGGCGGCCATTCTCACCAAAAACCAGGGAAGACACAGCGACAATCACAGTAACCGGGAGAAGGAAGGTATTGACGGGGCTTTCTCCCACAAGCAATTGCCAGTATCAAGGCAATGAGAGCTACTGACCCATAACATGGCAGTAAGATACCCTGCAAGCATTCTTTTGATCATATATGTCCACACTCGTCTGGATCGAGGCAACAGCTGCCATGATGGATATTGAATGAGCACATTTCTTTCGTGTATCCAACCTCAATGTTGAGTGATAATGCTTGAAAGGCTGCCTTGATCCTCTGGGGAACCCCTATAACAGGCAAAGTAGAAAGGGATTAACCTGATGTCCCTCTCAGATGTGGAAGATGAGATGCACTGATGTGATTGCTATCAGCTTATTGGCAGCCAACCGTAGCGGTGTGTGAAATACCCTTTTGCATACATATTCTGCAACCTCGCCACCTGCATTGTGATAAGATTCTGCTGAAATGCATTGGTATGAATGGGGGCCCTCTGTGGACATGAAAAGCTGTAGCCACTACGTTGATCAAGTTCTGGGCTAGGTGACGTGCCTCATTAATTGTCTTTTCCGCTTTCTTGCGGAGCTGTATCAAACAATAAGCCATCTTTAGGCTATGACCTGTTCAAAATGCCAGTGTAATAGACAGCGGACATAGGTATAAGCTGAAGTATTCAAGACAGCCACTAGCTGCCCTAACACTAGGATTTTCCCTATAAAAAATATCTATTGCCTCGAGTATGTGCTGGAATAGCTATCCTTTCTGTGCGCTGCGATATGCATTTGACATTGCCTTGCTCGTGATATTCAGCCTTTTGGCACAAGAGCTGTGCAAGAGATTTATTGGTATAACCGCATTATTTTTGTCTTATTTGCAGGAGCCTTCCACTTAGCCGATATATATATATTTGCATAATGTTACCGTTCATGTCGTGGTTTTGAAACCAGCATAACAGCAGCAATGCAGTTAACTCAGTCTTTATGAGTCAAGTGCACTGAGCTAACGTTCTGTGAGAGGCGTAAGTTATGACCTTTGCAAAAAATTCGCACGATAGGTTCAATGGCCGATAATTCGGCGCCGGTGGCCATCCACCTTGCGGCAATTTGTTTCGAAACTTGAATCCTGTGAGCATGACAAATTCTTCAAAGTCAAAGTAAGGAATCAACATGAGCTCATTAGCGACAACGCTTGTGCCGGCGTCTTTGAAAGGTGGTGTTTTATCGCATTTTTCTCCATTACTTCTCCTTGTACGTCAGTGCATAGAGATTGAGCAGTCGACGAGCAATGAGAGGCTCGAAGACGCTTGGAGTTGCGCCAGAGAATGACATATTATCGACTTCGGCTTGCTGGAGTGTCGTTGAAAGTAATGCGCCCTTAGTCAAGGGTATTTTTGGTATGTATGAGCGTATATGGTAGAGCTGCAGCTTATCGAATCGAGGGGAGTATGTAGTTGTGTAAGAGTGTAGGCATGAATGAGTTTGCCATACATAAGGGCGCCTTGCGTTTTGAGGTACTTTCCTCGCGTACCAATCTGGACTCTGTAACGGGGGGTGGTAGGAGTAGCGGCCGGATAAGTATGGCCCTATGTTTGTCTGAGCTGTACTGCGCATATAAAAGCCTTTCCACAAGGGAGGTATCTTACTCCCCGGCTCAGCGGGAGCTGACAGGAACAGCAATTTGAGGATAACAAGAGGTGATCCTGTTGGCATATAGTATGCTGTATAGCAAAGTATATATAATAAAGGGGAGCCATAGATTCAAGATAGATATTTCACTATGCGGGAGGAAGTGGAGGAGTAAAAGGCATGATAGTAATGCTGTTCCAAAGTAGATGTTTCAAACCCATAGCCAGACAGTTGGATAAAGAATAGGAAGCCAGGAGAAAAATAAGAAGGAGAAGAGGATGATGATAGGAAGGAAGGAAGAAGAAGAAGAAGAATTTAGAAGGGAGAGAAGGGGGCTTTATAGCTTTCCAGGGCCCGCATGGCAAGGAAGCGGGCGTCGACATTAACTGTACTTAGTCACGGCGGCAGATACTATTCACCAATTTTAAGAGAGTAAGTAGTAAGCTGTTACTATCTCTGCGTAGGTGACCGATATTATTTAATAATATATGTCACTGTTTGCTGCTTTCCATAGTAATCCGCAGTAATCTACGGGAACAGGCTGGATTCACAGACATAAGTGTGACCGTAGTTGGGTACCTTGGGTATTTAGTAGCGTAATCTGTCACTATCGCTCTCCAGGTGGGCATGTTTTCTTTTAATAGAGTCACTACCCTGCCACCGTCCGGGTTATCTACAGTCACAGAGGAGATTCACTAGCTGCCAGCGGTGACTGCATAGTATTTATGTGACAAGCGGTGACCGTAGGGTATTATTCAGATTCAATGTTCACTGGCTGGCCTTTGAGACGAAAGTGTAGGCTACCGCGGTTAACTATACATATCAGTAGTTCAGCTGTTTGTCTACACAGGAGATCTTACCACAAAGAAATCACCACTGTCTTAGCCATCTGCACCCCACTCATATCACCATCTCTACTTGTCTCTCCTTTTGCCTCTCTTTTTACCCCTTCATCTTCATCTTCCTCCTTTGATGTCTGGATGTTGATGTCGACGTTGAGTTTGACGTCGTAAAAAAGGGGCTGATGTTTATTTTTATCCCTTACGTCATCATGCGGCTGAGATGACTAACACCCGCTATGTCGCGGTACTTCGCCTCCCAGCAAAGTTTGTACGCAGCCAGAAGTCGCAAAACATCGACTGCTCCGCCCGTCGGAGTCCCAAAGCGGTTTAGCGCTTCTCGCACTGCGCCTGCTGGCGGACTTCCCTTTTGGGCCAAATTCACGTGGTTTCTCTGCGAACTTCGACTTTCTCGACTTTCCTCGAACTTCACAACTTCGACTTTTCTTCTTCTTCTTCCTCCTTCATCATCTCGAGCTTCGTCTTCGTCTTCTTCTTCGTCCGGCTTCTTGTCGTGTCTTCGCCTCGCGTCTTCCGCTGCTGTCAGACTCGGGTTCGCTGACTGCAGGGCTGGTTCTCCTTTGAGTCACTCGCTGACCGGGCTCCGCAGCGCTTACGCAGAGTATACCGCGGGCCATTCAGTCGAGAGCTGAGTTGATCGCAGCCGACGGACTATAACTATATAATAATAATCAAAACACAATAACCGCAATTCATAATACCCCGCGAGCAGGAGATATAGAGCCAATGGCTGAATCAATGACCTTTGCTTTTGGCTGTGTCGACGAGCGCATGGCCGACATGGTCACCCCAGACGGCTTCGGCTACGCTGAGCCCATGTTCAACGAGCCAGCGATGGAGCCGTGGATGGACGGCGTGCTGGACGAGGCGCTGATGATGGCTGCGCCCAGCTCGTGGGACGACTTTGACGCCCTCAACACGGCTGTCTCGCAGGCCACGGCTACTCCAAACGCCTTCGACTCCATGCTCGCCGACTGCTCTCTTCCAGAGGACGGCCAGGCCAGCAGCAGCGGCGATCTTACCGTCTCTCCGGATATGCTGGACATCTCGTCGAACCTCGCTTTCCCCGACAGCGAGATGCCGTCCTTCTTGGGCACCGAAGTCAACAGCTCTTTCGGCACCCTCGACTCAACAGTCAACAACAGCAGCAACGCTTCTTCTTCCTCTTCTTCTTCCTTCTCGGCTCAGACTACCCCCGAGCCACTTGCCGGAGACAACTGTGAACTCGTCTTCGAGCAAGTTGCGTCCGCCTTCAAGGACCTTGCTCGCGCCAGAGCGGCTGCTGATCCACGACCAATCTCTCGCAAGCAGAAGCAGAGAGACGCCTCCATTGCCCTCTACCTTGAGCGTCTACGAGACACTTGCAACGAGGCAGTGGCGGCCCTCAATTCGGGTGCTGATAGCACAGCCGCTACTATTGACAATTCCGCTGCCTGGTTCAATGCTAACCATGTGTCCATGTCCTCTCAGCACAGCTCGTCTGGCGCCAGTAGCTTCTCCACCAGCTCGCCCTCGGAGGGCTTCACGGAATTCTACTCTCAACCTCAATCGGCTAGGTCTTCCGTGCCATCCCAATCCCCCACCTTGGACCAGTCTCGACCTCAGTCCCAGCAGCCTTCTCCTCCGGCTCCGGCTCCAGCTCCTCCTTCCGGAGGTATCGAGCTTGTCATGGATCTCAACATGAACACCGCTACCTCTCTCCCAAGGAAACACCGTCCACGGACAGAGACCCAGCGCCAGCGGTACCTGGCTGTCCGCAACCAGGGTGCTTGCGAAAAGCACAAGAAGCAGCACAAGAGGTGCACTTGCATTGACAAGGCAATCCCACTTACTTCTGCTGCTACTGCAGCGACGATCGCCTCCTCTTCACCCCAAACGGGTGCAGGCACCGGCACTGGCACTGATGCTGCCATCAGCATCCTGTCCAACGTTAAGAGCCGCAGCTCTGTCCGCAAAGCATCGTCACTTCGGCGTGTTCCTGGCGCCCGTGGCGCCCGCAATGCCCTCCCACCAACGCCCGGAGAGGATAATTGGCCAAACATTGGCCACGATGGCGAGTTCCTGATCAGGAACAACAGGCCTGGCAGCGCTGTCAAGGGCGAGGCCAGTATGGCCAGCATGGCCAGCAGCGCGTCATACTTGCTGCAACAGCAAGGCAAACTCGATCACCGCCATGACAATGGCCATGATATAGGCAGCTCGCACGATAAGGGCGTAACTCGCGACAGAGGAGCCTCGAGCGAACGTGTCTCTACTCTGCCTACGAACACCGGCAACGTGGGAATGTCAATCGTCCTCCAGGGAGTTTTGGACAACAACGCCAATGTCCGCTCTCGTCCTGATGATGGCTGCCGACCAGGATGCAACAGAGGCGTAGAGTCTTTCAACGCACATCGCCAGCATATTCTCACTATGCACCTGGTCAACAGAGACCAAGGTCGTCGTGCCGTCAACAATACCGCCTTGCTCGTGTTCCCCGATGGAACTTGGCAATCTACGCATGACCAACTTCTAACGAACAGCCAGAGCCAGGGCACCAATATAGACAATATAGGTGGCTCAAGGATTTCAAGACTATCGCAGATTTCGTCCTACCTGCATCTTCGTGACAACCAGGACTGTTTTAGAGATAAACAGAAACACACGAACATCTCCAATCGCAGCCGCAGAGAATGCAGCTCGATGTTGCCATCGACCATGTCAAGTGCAGGTGCCAGCGGAGAAAACATGCGCAACATTTGTTGTACCAACGCATCCGCCCAGCTCTGGTGTGCCACACAACTCGCAGTTGCCGCTGCTATGAGAAACACTCAGCTACCGAGCAGCTACAGTGCCACTCAAGACAAGTATAGCACCGGGTCAACACCTTCGAGTCTTCTCCAGCCATCAATCTCTACGATATCGTCTGCCTACACCGGGGTACGATGGTATATACAAGCCTACATCGGCAACAGCGTGCGTCCACAATTGAAACATGCTACCTCGCGACAACGCGAATTCGCCCTTTGGTGCTTCATATGGTTAAGCATGCTAGTGCTATCGGCGATTTTCAAAGGTGCTTTGGCTTAATCTTCGAAGAGGCTACAGAAAAGTCTTGCATTCGCTGATGGAGCTTGAGACGGTTTCATCGATTTGATAACCAGTTTCGCTCTCGGCTTTTTTTCTACTCATTCCTGTTTGTTCTTTTCGCTTGAAGCGTTTGTTATGTATATCTATTCCATTTACTTTAACTTAGTTCACCCTGCTTCCTACTGTTTAGTTTTGTTTCAACTTCGGGCATCGTCACTTTGAATAGCTTGCTTTTTTGCTTGATCGATGTTTAACTACGTCTACCTTCCCCCAAGTATAGATGCTTAGAGCTATATAAGACGGGGGGTCTCTCGTCTCTCGCGCTGAGATTGAATCAAAAGCACCTTTTCCCTCGACAGTTTCCTCTCTTGCCATCTCCACGTGTAGACAACTCATCGTTACGCATTGTAGATTAACTAGTCTTGGCATCCGTTGTTAGTCCAGCCACCAAGGTTAGTCAAATATACTTAAACTCTACGTCCAGCGACACTTCGTAGATACCAACATCGTATCATCCATAATTATTCCACTTTCACGTATATTACTCGATATATCTATATGCATGGCTCTGTATCTTTAGACCTTTGGTTTGCGATCAGCATAGACTCGCCGTCTATTTGGCTATCCACCGTTACCCCGTGGATATCAAGATAGGACGTACTTCATGGCCAGCAGGCATCTTCCGGGGTTCATTCTCCTAGCCACTTCATTCCTTACTCTCGCAATGGGGGACTCTGCTACTGTCCCACAAATTCTGTACTCGACTGTACCGGGATATTTCTTGCAAGATGATCCGGCCATCGACCCCAAAACCTTTGACTACGTATGTATCTATCTCTTTGCTCTCAACGACACCTTTATAACAAGTATATCCAGGCGAAGGAAGGCTTCGGGTTGATCGATCAAGCCTACGATACGGACGAGACCTTGGAAATAGAGCTCAAGAAGCTTCCCTGGGCAAGATTCGAACATAAAGTGCGCTCCTTGAATCAGCATACCGCTTCAAACGTTCGCTTCGCCGTCCTCTTCATGGGAAGACATGGCCAGGGATTTCATAACGTGGCGGAGGCTTACTACGGAACCAAAGCCTGGGATGTAAGTTTCATTTACCTCCGCTTGGGCTTTTTTGCGTAGTGACATTTGATAGGACTACTGGTCGAAATTAGACGGCAACGGGACCATAACTTGGTCGGATGCCCATTTAACTGAAGAAGGGGTCAGCCAAGCGAAAGTTGCCCGAGATACATGGGCTGCTCAGATGAAGAACTCCATCCCTCTCCCAGAGGCGTATTATACCAGTCCGTTAGATCGGTGTCTTGCTACTGCAAAGGTCACTTTCAGTGAACTTCAACTTCCTCCGTCTCATCCGTTTATTCCAACTGTAAAGGAGGTGAGTTGGTACCCGCTTGTCGCCACGCTCTTTATGTGGTTTGATATGCTAAAGATGTTGATAGCTTCTCCGGGAAACACTCGGAGTACATACATGTGATAGACGCAGCTCCAAGGACCACATCGAAAGCACGTACGCAACATACAAAATAGAGCCTGGGTTTACACAAAAGGACACGTTATGGGACCCTGAAATTCGAGAATCAGACTCCGATCGAGATGTCCGTTTGAAGAAATTGCTTGATGACATCTTTTCTCATGATAGAAGCACATTCATGTCCCTCACCGCCCATGGCGGAGCTATCAGGTCTATCCTTAATGTCATTGGCCATCGTGACTTTGGATTGCAGACCGGTGCTGTTATCCCTGTTCTCGTTCGGATAGAGACACGATCCGATGCCCCTGAGGAGCCAGAGGAGGATTTGACCATCAAAGTACAAGGTCTCAATTAGTGCACTGACACATCCATAGGGGGATTATCACCTTGGCAATTTAGGTTATGTTTTATGGATAGAAAGTAGCAATAGATATGGATGGATGAACTCATGATGCCTAAGAGTCTATCTAGATGCTATAAACTAGATAGATGTCTGCTTGAAAGTATATAGGAGATGCAAAGGTAGATGTAAAGCCCTATTTTCGCTATGTACATTCCATCAAAGATGGGAAACTATATACAGACACGTTGCTCAAACTGTAGACTCCAATCGACAGAATCCACAAGCACGGTCATTGACAAGAAGAACCATTTACAAGTTGGAAGCCATGCCGAGCTCGGTCATGAAGCCAACAGCAACCTTAGCATGCTCGAGCATGTGGTCGAAGCTAAGGTATTCAATGGTGTCGTCAGCGGAGTGAATGTGTGGGTTGGAGCCCTCAAAAGTAGTCTCCGCAACCATGGACGCTGGGAAACCGTTGCGGTCGGCAGAGGCGTGGTCAGAACAGGCGTATCCGCATTCGGTGTCGACGATTGGGATAGAGGCGTACTAGGTGGGAGATGAATGTTAGAACAGAAACTTTACGATTATGTATGGAAGGAACCGGTAGGTTATGTTGACTTACTTTCTCAACAATCATCTTGCAGAATTGGTTCAGCTCCTGGTTGGTGTTATCGGTAATGAGGCCAAACTGCTCCTTGCCCTGACCAGCGAAACCAGCAAGGTCCTGGTTAAGCATAGCCTTGACCTGACGGCCATCACTTTTGTACTTGCGGAAGACGGTGTTAGAGCCCAAGAGGCCACCTTCTTCACCAGCATACCAGTGGAACTCGAGAGTGTTGGTGTTGTTAGCAGCCTGGAAGGCCTTGGAGCCCAAAAGACCTCGGAGAGCCTCAAGAACAACAACAGATCCGCTTCCATTATCGTCGGCACCTGGGGCACGGCCGCCCTGGGGATCCTCCTGGTTGATACTGTCCTGGTGAGCTCCAACAACAACGGTTGACTCAGATGACCCGGGAATGGTAGCAATGATGTTGAATTGGTTGAATTGGTTCTCAATCTTTTCTACCTTAGCACCCTGGGCACCAGACTCATCGATGGCCTTCTTGACTTGCTCCATCAGCCAGTTGGCAGACTCAACACCAGTCTGAGACTCATAGTATCGGTTGTTGAACTCAGTCATGGCCTGTAGGTCACGCATGAGGTTCTCCTTGGAGAGGTTGGCGATCATAGCGGATACCATGGAAGAGTGGGCAGCCTTCTTGGGGTAGTTGGCGGCAATAGGCTTGGTAGCGACGAAGCCGGTGCCGAATTCATCGGTGATATCAATGAAGGTTTGTCCAGCCTAGATAAATTAGCAAAGAGTTTCCTTTTCCCGTCATTATTCATCGGAGATAGCATACAGCCCTCATATGATGCTTCTGGTCCTTGGTAACCCATTGGGTCTTTCCTGGACCGAGCTCGATCAAGTACTTATCACCAGATGGACGGACGGGGCCAGCAACAGTGGCGGCTGCAAAGGCAGCAACAGCGGCTAGGGCAGAGACCTTCATACTGGAATGAATACTAAAACAACAGAAAAAAAGTATGTGCTAAGAATGGAAAGAATTCGTATCCTGCCAGCTGACCGAATGGAAAGGAGAGAAAAGGAGCGAAAAGGTATGAGCTTTAATAACTTTTCGCAGCATTGAGACCGCTATATTTATACTCGGGGCCGCCCCGTGCCCCTTCCTTCCTGAAAGAGAGTAATAAGAAATCAGGCCTAGGAGTGGACTGATGCAGTTGCAGTCTGGAGCAGCGGGGCCAACGAGAGACGTTCCGTTCAGACACCCGATCGTCAATGTTACAGAGGATCAACGTCCGTCAGCCACTAGCTAGGAAGGACGTGAAGGAGGAGTTTCCATGACCAGGAACACGAGAGCTGTCTGCCAAGGAGGCCGTGATAGGGTGAGAGGCGGCTGATCATAAGTTTAATATCCATGCTTAAACTCCGTAGTGAATATACAAGGACTTGTATATTTTTCCGTGTCACTTCCGTATGGATAGTGTAACCTAGAGGACACGGGAGGGCTGGACACTTCCCTAGGAGTGCCTAAGGGGTATTTTGCACTCTATCTGAGAGGAACAGGCCTGTTATGGGACGGCTACCAGCATTATTTCTTTTAAACAGAGAGTCTCTCCTTTGGGGTATAGAAAGCCGAAACAGACCGAACCTCCACGCGTTGCGTGCAGGAAGGTCTGGGGTATAGCCAGGGACCCCGGGATGAAACGTCAGCGAAAAGCTCACCTTGCTCCGTCCGACCATCCTTGGCTGCAACTGATCCTGGCTCTCCTCCCCACCAGGACCGAACACCATCACGAGGCAGGCAACTGCGCCGTTGTAAGCGCAGAAAGTGGCCTTGCAACAATATGTGATGGACAGAGATCAACAAGCAGCCAGCAGCTCTTCCGGACGAATATCGACATCTAGTCTTGACAACCTTTCAGGAACCACCACGGAGAGGACTCTGGGTTTGGAACTGAAACGCCGGCCCGATGATCGACCATCGCCTGAAAAAGCCGTCATTAACCCAGCCGCTCTGTGATTTCAAGGAGATATCCTCGCTGTCGATGTGTTTTACTGAGGTATCAAGACGGAAGAAACGAAGACGATGAGAGGAAGAAGAAGAAAAGTCGAAGTCGAAGTTGAAGTTCACAAAATCGCCCACTTCCGAAAAGGGAACGGGGTCGGAGTATATATTAATCCGTAATTGATTACATAATATAGTGTCCACTTGAAACCTTAAGCGACAACGCCCAAAAAGGGAATATAAAAACCTCAAAGCTGAAGATTAAGAGGAAAAGAGCAGATAAAAAAGAAGGGAGAACGACATGAAAAAGGTCGGCTGGGTTCGACATTAGTCGTGGTCGGCTATCAGCTCATAGCCGCCTTCGTTCGGTAGCACTCGGGCTATCGTGTACATCGCCACCGCGTTGACCAGCATCAGGCACATACTGACGGTACACAGGATCCACGAGTCGTCGAGCTTCCATCCAGGGTAGAAGCGATCGTCGTTGTCGAATAGATATGACTACCCACTCGAGTCAGTATTCGCCATTGATCTTATCTACCTGGGGGGTGCTTTGCTCCGTCGGGAGGTAATAGCAAGGCAATTATATATCTATCATGTGTGGGGGTGAAGAAGGACTCACCACCAGACCCATTCCACCTGCCTGAACAAGGCCAATCAGGACCAGAAACACCGCCAGCAGCTTCCAACCTGTTTCCCTCATCTGTTTACCTCCTGCCAGTATCACGATGAATGCCACAAAAGTCATCCCCTCGAGGACAACAGCAAGGGATATCAGGAATCCAACGGAACGCCACATTGAGCAGAATATCGGGTTGGATATCGCACGGTCGGCGAAAAGGTCCGATCCAGAGCCACTGAAGCGATTGATACTGACTCCAAACATGGAGTTGTCTGCTTGACAGTCTTCATACTTTGGGAAAGCGTCGCATCCGGGGGATTCGGACGAGCACCGTCTTGTCAAACCGTATGTGAGGTAGAACTGCTGGCCAGAGGGCTGTCAAAGTCGAGCTGGCATTAGCTACATTGCCTGCCCAGCCTGGATGTAGTAAAAAAAGGGTGCAATGGAGCGTCCCTAGCTCACCGTCTCGCTATAGTAACCAAGCCATTTTGGAACAAAGATGGACACCAGCGTGAGCGACGAAGCTATCATACATCGTGGTGTCAGCATATGCGCCTGTCCCTGTGCCACGCCAAATGACCGACCGACCGACTAACGAGAGAAGAACACACCTATCAGGAAGAAGAACAGAGTAAAGGAATAGAGAATGGTCTTTGTAAAGAAGCCCGTGTAGTTTTTTCGCCCTTCCCCGGGCACCAGATGCGAGTCCACGATGGGCAGGTTGGTCTGATGGATCCTCGCAGCGGTAACTAAATAACTAGATCAAACGGACAGCAACAGCGTCACCGTCCTCAAAGCGTACGATAAGACAAGTCTGGGTCTTGTACAAGAGAGTCTTGAAGTCTTCTTTATCGTCTTCTCTTCTGTTGTTCGATGTTTACCTCCTCGTTCCTCCTTTCATGGCATGACGCCAGCCCGCATCATGTGATGCTTGTTACATCCAGGCAGGCAAGTTACAGAAAAACAAAACAGAAGCGTTTGTGCCGGCGACCTCACTTAACACGATCAAGTGAATACTTAGCTATGCATGTTCCTTGTCGTTAATAGCATTGATAATAACTATCCAGGGTGCTTGATGGTGAGCTTGAATCCTTTCCGGGAAGCTCTGATGCACGACGGATGGATTTGAATGGTTAAGTTGACACGGTTATCTGTTTATTCTGTACGGAGTACTCACGGCTCTATAACACCATACATAAAATTGACCATACAGATATATACAGACATGACTTGGTCGGAAATAAAGAACTCGTTAAATAGTTAGTTAGCCAAGTCTTCCTTCCATCCATTTAGGCAAATGGACGGGAAAAGGGGACAAGCAGAAGATAGATAATCGTACATTATTCCTCTACCACCGCTATCAACACCAACAGCAACCAACAACCGCCACACAGCAAAGTAATTGCATAACTTTCGTCCCCGATGTTGACTTGACCATTAGTTAAATTAAGCAATATCCGTGTCTGTATGCCTGTATGCCTGTCTGTCTGCCTAGATCTGCGAGGTAGGATGCTGCAAGATAGGAAGACACAAGAGCGATGGAATGAAGAAGAACGCAAGCAGAGGAGAAAAAAGCCATTCCATCATGCAAGTAACGATAACGGTATATGGACATGAACACGGTAAAAATAAACAAAGGAGATCAAAAAGAGCAAAAAAAAAAAGGAGGCTGTCAACTCAAGTAAGACTGAGTTAGCAGTATGAAGTCAAAAGGGGGATAGAAGGGGGATATAATTTTCACCTGCTACAGCTGGTTTTTATCACCGTATTGTGAATAGGCCAGTGTAGGTACCAGGAATAGTGATTTTTTTATCTTGAGGAACGCATTAAATGGGCATTTCTTTAGAGCGAACTCGCATCGCTAGGAGACTAAACGGAGAGAGGAAATGTAAAAGGCGCCACCGGATGATAGGGGGAATAACAGAGAGGATGAAGCGGGGGAAACGAGCAAAAGAAGTTAAGTGAAATGGAGACGTGGATGCAGAAGAGGAGAGTGTGAGGAAAAATAAGTAGGAACAAGAATATGTGGGTGGGTATAGGTCTGTTATAATCAGCCAGCCTCACTTGGGCTGTGATAACATTGCTCGAAAGTCGTCATTCGTCTTATTCCGTGTCGTCGTGGATTCGGACTGGTTCTGATTCGATTTCTGGCCGTCGGTATCATCATGATGATTCGTTGTTGCACCGGATGGTTTGCCTCGGGAAGGCATACTGGATCCGCCGCGCTTAACCCCTAATCCGCCTCTGCGGCCGCTGCCAGAGGACTGGTTTGGTCGTCTTATCGGTGCAGATGGCTGTGTCATCATTTTGCTCCCGCCAGCAGCGCCGCTGCTGGAGGCCGTGGCACCGCTGGCTTTCCCTTTTTCCTTGCCAACAGGTATTCTATCAACCTTGTGTTCTGCCTTTTGCTGCAGCATCTCTTTCACCGAGCCAACGCGGATGAACCTCCCAGGTGTAATCTCGTATCCCTCAAGGGCCAGCGATGCTATTCCTGCATCGTGTGTGTTGGTAAACTCTACAATAGCACCTTGGTGGTCGGGGCGCAGGTTTATCTTCACCAGTGCACCGTGTGGCTCTGCGAGAGCACGAATGCGGGCATCGTTCACCGTGTCGGGGACGTTCATCAAGGCTAGGGTGCGTATGTGGCGGTCACCTTTGGGCTTGATGTGGCCATCAACCAATGAGCCTGGTGGCGGCGAGGCTGTGCTCGTTCCGTTACGCTGGGCGTTGGTGGCTGGTGATTCGGACCGAGAGACAATTGTATTTTGGTGTCGTTTTGCTCCCGTGCTGGTCGAAAGCCGAACATTTAGCTCTCGGCCTTTGAACGTCTTCTCGTTCAGAGCCAGGGCAGCGGTCGATTGATCCTGTTCCAAGTTAGAATATCCAGTCTTCTGGCCTGATAAAATGGCTGAAAAAAAAAAAAAAAAAGAAAAGAATTGCCAGGTGTAACTTACCTTTGTAGCAAAGCTAACGAAAGCAAAACCTCGAGTCTCTCCATTCACCTTGGTGGGTATTCTAACGGACTCTACATCCCCGTATGCGGTGAACAGTTCTACAAGGTCTCCCTCTGTGGTCTTGTATGGTATGTTACACACATATATCTCCCTACCTTCCTCGTACGCGCCAGACCGAGCCTGTCGCTGCGAAGGGTCAGAGATTTTGACCACCAATTCCAGACCTTCGCCCAGGTCTTTCTTGTCAAGGCCAGTGGCAGCGTAGGCGGATGAGGAAGAAGTAAACTGAACATAACAGAAGCGGCGGTGCGTATTGTATTTAAGCGATGGGAATCGCACTTCGGCAATTTCGCCATACTAAACGTGTGTCAATGTTAGCATCATGCAAGGTAAGTGGGACACCAAGGAAACCTGGGGGTAGGGAATACCGAATGAAAGAGCTCACGGATATAATTTTCATCCGCTGTCGGCGGAAAGTTGGTTACAAAGATTGTGGTGTCTGTAACTGGCTCAACGGTCACTTTGCTGCCTTCTAGAAGCCTTTGGTTCTTCGTGCCAGCGGCCAGGGCATCTTCGTGGGTATCAAACTCGAGCAATGCAGACCCGGAGTCACCGGGGAGCATCTGAAGGGAATTGAGCTTTCCACACTATTTGGTTTAGTTTGTTAGTATGTTTTTATTTTTGAACAAGTGAGTGAGTGGCATTGAGCTGAGCAGTAGTGGTATCTTACGTCTCGGAAAAACTGGCGAATCTTGACCTGCGGGATATCCTTGGGCAAATTCTTGATTATAACACTTGCATGCTCTCGATCTCGAGTCGGTGCTTCTACCGACGGGATGGTGCCACCTTTTGCCTTCTTTGAGACTGTGCCGTTCATCTCCGGTTCGCCCTCGCGTTTCCGTTTGCCAGCAGATTGAGCTTCATCGGGATGGGGATGTTGTTGCTCTACGGGCTCCGGGTGGGCTCCCACCGCCGCTGGAGCATGTTGAGCGTACTGAGCCTGATGATATTGGTGGTTTGCAACCTGCTGGTGCTGGTGGTACTGCTGTTGCTGTTGCTGTTGCTGCTGCTGCTGCAAGGCCTCTCTCTGCCTACGTTTAGTCAATGCCTTCATAGCCTTCCGAACATCGATAATGGCAAGTTGAGATTCATCCGCGTCTTCGTAGTGTTCACAGTGCGAAATGTAGGCGTCCATGATCTTCTCTGGCCAGTCTAGGTCTGTCCGTTGTAGAGCCTGTTTCAATACTGCGGTAGCGTAGCTCGGGTTAGGCATTCGTCGCGACGCACTGGCTGAAGAATCGCTAGGCATGAACTTGCTCCATGAGAGAAGCTCCCAGGTGTAGTAGGCCAGCCAGAACTCGAAACTGTGTCCGTGGCGGGGAATGAGGTGTTTAAACTCCTCGCGTGCGCTGTCCCAGCTTCCGCGCGCGCTGAGATATCGAATGTAGATGCGCTCCAGATGGAAGAGTGGATCGTTGGGGACGGCCTTGTCGGTTTTATCGCCCAGCTCCTGCACGGATTCGATGGCAGAGCGAATGCCGACTTCGGCTACGTCAAGATCTTCGTCCGTGGATTCCGGCTGGAGTGCCCAGCGGCGAAGGTAACTACACCAGGTAGTGTGGACTTTCAAGACCTCATTGATGCCCGCAGCGTCGAGTAGGCCGGAACGCGTGGCTTTGTGCTTGAGCTCGAGGATCTCGGCGAAGGAGAGACCAGCCCGTTCGGCGCTGACGAAGAGCTGCGACCACAGGGCGCCAGACCAAGGGCAGTGGCGGGTTGCGCGCTCGATCACAGGGATGGGTGAGATGCCCATGGGCCCGTCCATGGATTCATCGATAAGGAACATGACGTAGTCTTCCCAGAGAGTAGCGTCGGTAGGGAAGCGGAGGACGGCGCGCTGGTAGAGCGAGGTGATCAGTTCCAGACGGAGAGGCTGCTGCTGTCCCTTTCTCCGGGGTGGCTTGGAGAGCTCCCAGTCGAGATACTCCTGGAAGGCGGTCCACTCGGCATTGGTGTCCTTGAGCTCGAAGGTTCTGTGTAGGGCTGCTTCTCGGGTGTCGCGGGCGGCGTACATGGCCTTTGCCTCGGCAGCCTTGCTCCTGGCATCGACCATGACGTCCTCGTAGCTGGCGTTGTAGTACTTGGAGACGAAGCTGGAGAAGAGCTGGAAGGTGTCGTCCCAGCCGGCGTGGGGGGTCTGCAGCCGGCTCTCGAAGAGCAGACGGAGCTGGGAGACGCGGTCCTGCGAGGGGGAGGCGTCGACATCCTGGATGAGCAGCTCGAGGTAGCGGTTCCAGACGAGATGGCTGTCGTTGATGCGCCACTTTGTAGCATCGGCTCCGGTCTTCCACACTTCGACGACGGACTGCCAGGTGAAGACCTCGCGGCCGATGATCCTGTCTTCGTCGGACCAGTGGCCGCGGCCGGCGCCATCTCTGTCGCCGGACGAGGCCTTGTAAAGGTAGAGCATCCACTCACCGTATATGACCCAGAGCTTTGTGCTGCCGTACTCCTCCTCGACAGAGCGGCGACAGAGCTCCATGACGGCGATGCGCTCGTTGACGGTGCGGGCGAGCAGGCTCTCGTCCTGGATCCATTCGGCCCAGAGATCCTCTCCGATGGCGAACAGGTGATCGAGCTCCTCCCGGGCAGCCTTGAGATCCTTGAGCACGTCGAAGCGGTGGGGATCGCCGTGCGAGTCGGGCGAGGCTGGCGGGTAGATGTGGTCAACAAAGCCCTGGTGCAGTAGACGGATGAAATTGACGCGGTCCTCGTATGCGTAGTGGTTCTTCTGGATGTTGCTGTACAGCTGAGCCGCCGTCCGCTGGGCTTCTGGGCTGAGACACGTGCTGCTGAACTCACGTCTGGGCGCATCGGCAACGGGTTCAGCGCCGTCGTACCCCGACGGCCGCGGAGTTGGCGTGCTGTGCTGTGTGGCGGCCGGCGGCACGATGGGGAAGGCAGTCGAAGGCGACGGCTCGGCTCTCTTGATGTGCGCAGCCTCGACGAGGGCGTCTATGCCGGGTGTAGAGGGCGTCTGGGGCCCACGGCCGCTGTTGGGAGTGTGAATCTGAGCCTGAGCCTGAGTCTGAGCCTGAGCCTGCGGCTGTTGTTGTTGTTGTGCCTGTTGTACCTGTACCTGTTGTGCCTGCGTCTGCGCCTGCGTCTGTGTCTGCCTTGGACCTGTCCCGTTGCCGTGAACGCCTCCGCTGCCGGCCCATGTTGTCTGCGGCGTGTTCCCTCGGTGCGAGCGAGGGCGAGGCGACTGCACAGAGGCAGGCGAGCGAACAGCCTTCTCCTGTCTGCTGGAGCTTGGTGTGATCAGGTCCCTGATATCCATGGCCGCGGACTTTTTTGCTGTGGTAGCCCGCCGAGCAGCAGCAGCAGGTCAAGCCTCCGGGGCAGAAGAAAAAGAAAAGGGTCAAGGAGGAGACTGAGAGAGTAGAGGGAGAAGAGGAAAGCAAGAGAAGGATGGCTGAGAGAGTGTGTATGTGCGTGTCTTATCAGGCTGGCCGAACTGGATGAGTGTCAGTAGCAGCGCAGGAGTTCCATCGCAAACCTTGGGGGGAGGTTCACGCCGTCGACAGCGAGTTCCAGCGAGAAGTGCCAGCCGACTGAGCAGCGCCGCGACGACCTGTAGTGTATCTCTCGCGGAGAGCAGCCAGACACACGGCCAGACGGAGAACGAGCGAGTGAGCGAGGAAGCTGGACGAGCAGTTCGTTAGCAACGAGGGCGAGCTGGCGGGCCAACGCAGCAGCAGCAGCAGCCGGACTCACGACGGGCGAACGAGAAGCTGTTGTCAGAGCGAGCGTCGCAACATCGAGCAGACGCCGGGCGAAGCGAGATGAAGCAGCAGTGAGGAAGCGATCGAGCTGGCGGTTCTTCTTCTCTTTGTTCGTCGTCGTCGTCGTCGTCTTCTTCTGTCTCGTCTTCGTCTTCTTCGTCTTTCGTTATTGACGTTTGAAGGTTGAGGTTGAAGGAAGAAAAAAAAAGTTGCTTTTCCCTTTTTTCCCTTTACTAAGCAACAAACAGCGACTTTTCCCCGGCTTCGACTGCGACTGCGACTTCGACGTGCGAAGAGCTTCACCTTTTGCTTCTTGTCTTTAGTTGTGGCTGCTGTCTACGGCTGTTGATACGATGGATGTGAAAACGGTGATGTTCTAGGCGAGTGAGTGAGCGAATGAGTGGATGTTGAAGGCTCAAGCTGACGTTTCTCTAGGTACAAGACGGCATCACCAGCATCATCACCATCATCACCATCAGAAGAAGAAGACAAAGACGGAGATGCGAGAGACAGACATGATCTAGACCGCGTTTCCCGGAGCGAGGCTGTCGCTATGGCTGGCAGTGGCTCTGGGGTCCAGCTCCCCGTCGACAGCGAGGGTTACATCATATATACCCAACTACCTCACTAGCGACTCCCTAACGCGCGGAGAAGGCTACAGACTGCAGGCTGCAGGAAGACGGACATAGTAACTAACAATAGACTCTTTGACTGACAGACTGACGGGCTGGCGCTCGAACCTGCGAGCTCGTGGGATTTGCTGCTGCTGGTTGCTGCTGTCTCTCCCACGCACCCCCCAGATCGTCTGCTCGTGGCATTCCAGTTGGCCCGGCGTCCGCAGCCAGCATGCAGCTCTGCCCTTCCACACCGCAGGTATCTTTCTCTTCACTCGTGTCTTTTTCTTTCTTTCCTTTTTACCGTCCTGCCCTCCCTTCTTTCTTTTCTTTTCAGTCATTATATATTTTAAACATCATGGTTGTGGTTATGATTCGCTGGCTGAAAAGCAAGCCCGTGGCTGACCGTCACCTGATACGCCACTGACGTCACGATCTAGAAAGACGAGAAGAAGACGAGAAGACGAGAAGACGAGAAGGAAGTGCGAGAGGAACGAGAACGAAGCACGGAAAAAGGCAAAAAAGACGGCAAGTTCAAGTTCAGATGGATCAAGGGTGAAACGTTGACTAACACCAGTGGCTATTAGAGATACCCCAGGATACTAAAGACAGACACACGAGAAAAGAACATCAAAAAAGAAATAGGTAAAAATTAAGAAAAAGAGAGAAAGAAGAATTAAATAATATATACAACATGAATCCGTGAGAAATCAACCTATCCGTTTCCACCCCAGTCTTGACTGCGGTATGTATATATCTGGTCTATCATTGATTGCCACTTGACTCGCCCTCAAGGCGGCTGGAGTCCAGGTCCAGACTCTTCGAAGCCAGTTCCTCAAGTAGGCACCCAGCTTACTGCTGCTTGGGCTTGAAGAGCATGGTGAAGAACTTGATGATGAGGGAGATGAGCTTGCCAATGCTGAAGTGGGCAATGAGATCCGTGATATCCTTGAGCAGGCCGCTCCAGTCGATGTTGAGGTTGATTCCTGCGTGGGCACTGCCGCCAATGCCAATGCCGGTGCCGCTGGCAGAGATATCACGGCCAGCGATAGCACCGAGGCCGGGGATGAAGATCTTGCCGATACCGCCGACTATCTCCATGATGATTTGCAGGATAAGGCTGGCAAGCTTGCCCCAGTCGATGTTCTTGCCGTCACCGATAACCTGGACGATTTCGGAGATGAGCTTGGGGATGTCGAGCAGACCCTGAGCGTGGGCCATCTCGTCGCGTGCAGTGATGCCGGATCTAGCAGACAGTTGCATGAACTGATGGGTGACATCACCAAGGTCACGGTTGCTGATCTTGCCCTTGAACAGGCCGAGGATGAAGTCGATCAGGCTAGGGATGTCGAAGTGGCCGCTGGCGAAGAACTGCACGATCTTCTCGATGATAGCTCCGATGCCCTGGCCGTGTGGGAAGAAACCCAGGACGATCTTGACGATGACACCGATGCTGGCATGGCCAGAGGTGTTGATGTTGAGGAACTGGCCAGTGAGCTTGCAGACGACTTCGATGACGGCGTTGATGATATCGACAATGCCGCCGAGGTTGCCATGGCAGACCTCGATGATGGCCTCGATGATGCCAGCAAGGTTACAGCCGTTGGCGGTGATGTGCACATGGATCTTAGCAGCAAGGACGTTGGCATCAATGTTGGCTTTGCCCTTTACGGCGCCCTGGATGGCCGCAACGAGCACTGGGAGCTCAGGGACCTTGACCGGAGTAGAAGGGGCGGGAGCAGGGGCAGGGGCAGGGGCAGGTGCTGGAGCTGGAGCAGCACGGGCATCGACAGCAGGGAAGGCCCTGCGGAGGAGGTCATCAGAGCATCTCTCTATCAGACAGTTAGCTTTTGATCTGGCATTCAATACCCAAGTACTTGGATAGCCGGGATGCGGGACATACGCTCAAAGTCCTTGCATTCAGGGCCAGACTGGCCATTTGCAGAGATTCCCCCAAGGCAGCCAATTAGCACCTGGGCACAGCTCGCAGCTCTGGGGGCCTGTTCAACTGCACGAGCAGAAGAGAGTGCCGCAAAAAGCGGGAGAACAAAGAAGGCAGCCTTCATCTTGAAGGTAGCACGGGGTTGAAAAGAGAGGAAGGGGGTATAACTTAGGTCAGTCAGGCAGGTAAAGTAAAGAGTGAAAGGGGGTTTGTGAGGCCCAAGGTCAGTATAATGAACGACAGAAGAGAATTTGGAAAGAGAGCGAATGTGCTATGAGACAGCCGACTGATGGGTTGCAAGGAAGAAAGGAAAGAAGAAACACCAGTCGAAGGCATTAATCGAGATTTATATACCCTTCGTCTACGGGATTTGCTCTAACATCTGTTATCGACCGAGCAGCCCACTTCCTCTTCGCCCCCTTGCATCTGAAATCGACCATCTCATCCGATGAGTCCAAGCCATTTCTCCACACAGCCTCTTCGTTGAGCCTATCCTGGCCACTAGTGAGGAAACATGCTGCTCTTTCTTATGGTTCCCTTGGTACGGCTCTGCTATCAAAGATGCGGTTCTTCGCTTTTGAGTTCACATGGCCGTGGCACAACGTCCGTCGATCATATCGCTTGCATGGATTCGCCGCGCGAAAATGCTCGTGGTCGTGGATCCTCGTCAACAACCGAGGCGAACATCATGGATGAGAAACGCGCTAAGATAACTGATACTGCCCGTACGGAGTATACTCCATACAGCGTTATCTTTCACAAAGAAATCTGCCCTCAAGTATCTGTATCTATGAGATACAATGCACCGAGTGTTATGCGGTACATAAAAACTGGCCATGCATATATAAATGCAAGGAGCAAGTAGCCAGGGGCAATGGCCTCTAGTTTCACGGCCCAACGGATAACAGATTTTGACAGTTTGCACAGCTTCGGGTGAAGGGCAACTCTCGGGTGGGTGGAGTCTTGGCAGGGACGCCCAGAGAGTCGAATCAGCACGTCCATCACATAGGTATATGGCGTAACTATGGGGTATGCTGGTCTCAGACACTTTTCCCCTGAAGGGCAAACCCCAGTACCTTGAAGGATGAGAGCCCAAGCAGCTGACAGCTGTTCGACCCAGTTCGGCAAAAGATAAAGGCATATCCTTCAGTTCAGTTTAAAGGCTCAGAAACAAACCAGAAAACGTCAGGGAGGCAAAGAGGGCACCTGATGGATTCCCGATGGGCAGAGCATGCTCTCCGAAGAGGCTCTCTGTATGGAGTATCCGTAGATTGGATTGCGAGATAGATAGAGAGATAAGCGCGGAAACGTTATGATCAGCGTGATAAGAGTACCGCGGCTGTGAGAAATGATCGTAGGGCTTCCGTGGACTGCCGAAGCGCAGAAAACCTGTGAATACGAGGAACTGCTAATGGGCGATCACTTGTGCTTCCAAGCAGATTAGCAGACAACAAAGCACTCCGTAAGGTCAAAACGTATTCCGTAGAGGCAACGGGGAGTTCGTTGCCCGCGGGAGCAAAAAGCCTTGCTTGATATCAAAGATGTGCCAGACTTTGAGGTCGAAAAAAGTTCTAACATATCCGCTGATCTTCAGGGATATTGCCTAAACTAGTAAGACTCCCGAGAAAGCTTCCGGGAAATCGGGTCTAAGGGCCGAGCACGTGCGCGTTTATTACTCAGAAATTAGTAAGAGGGAAAAAACTGGCTTACATAAACTAAATACACGTGACTAATAGCGGAGAATATTTTAGCCGTTGCTTATATAATATTATAGGTTTTTCCGAAATGTTTAAGTTTATCTGATAAAAAAAAGCCAAAAGCTAAAAGAAATAATTAAGAAAAAAAAAAAAAGAGGTTGTGGAGGTTTGAAGGTTGAAGATTGAAGGCTGGAAGTGCTGAAGATATAAAAGAAGGAGACGGAAAGAAAGAGAAGAAGATGGAGACAGCACAGGATCATGCGAAGAAGCGGAAGAGAAAGCACAAAAGCTCTGAAGGGAAGAGCGCAAAGTCGCAGCAGCAGCAGCAGATAGAAGCAGAAACACCTACCAAGAAACAAAAGGTCGACCAGCACGACGACGATGACGAGGAGGTTGAAGCCGAAGACTCAGCAACTGAGAACGGCGTCGAGACCGAAAAGGATGTGCCGGCCTTGCCCTCTGCGGATACAATGGCTCTCCCCACACAGGAGGCCGTATCAAACAAATTCAGCGACCTCTCCCTCTCAGAGCCGACGGTTAAGGCGATAGCCGGCATGGGCTTCACTACCATGACGGAGATACAGCAGCGAGGTATTCCGCCTTCGTTGGCGGGTAGGGATATCCTGGGAGCAGCGAAGACGGGCTCAGGAAAGACGCTGGCCTTTTTGATACCTGCCGTGGAGATATTGCGGTCGTTGAAGTTCAAGCCTAGAAATGGTATGCGAAGTTTTTATTTTGTATATTGGGATAGAGAGATCATGGCATGGCTAACGTGGTGGTGTAGGAACTGGTGCGCTTATTATCACGCCTACGCGAGAGCTGGCGCTACAAATCTTTGGTGTTGCGAGGGAGCTGATGGAGCACCATTCGCAGACTTACGGGGTCGTCATTGGCGGCGCAAACAGGAGGGCTGAGGCAGAGAAGCTGAATAAGGGTGTTAATGTGCTGATTGGAACTCCGGGTCGTCTGCTGGACCATCTGCGGTCGACTGAGGGGTTTGTCTTTAAGAATCTCAAAACTCTTGTCATTGACGAGGCAGACCGGTGAGCACCATCTTCAGTTGAACTTGCTTGAAGGTTAATAAATAACTACGGGGCCGTTTTTTGCTAACTAACTGCTGTAGAATTCTCGAGGTTGGTTTCGAGGATGAACTGCGGCAGATCATCTCAATCCTGCCCAAAGACGACAGACAAACGATGCTGTTCTCCGCTACACAGACCACCAAGGTCGAGGATCTTGCACGTATATCCCTGAAGCCTGGCCCGCTGTATATCAACGTCGACCATAAGAAGGAGCACAGCACGGTAGACGGTGTGGAGCAAGGGTTTATCATCTGCGAAGCCCACAAGCGGTTCCTGCTGCTCTTTTCGTTCCTGAAGAAGAATGCCAAGAAGAAGATTATTGTCTTCTTTTCCAGCTGTAACTCTGTCAAGTATTACTCGGAGCTGTTGAATTACATCGACTTGCCGGTGCTGAGTCTGCATGGGAAGCTGAAGCAGCAGAAGCGGACGAACACGTTCTTTGAGTTCTGCAACTCTGCTCAGGGCACGCTTATCTGCACGGACGTTGCTGCTAGAGGGTTGGACATCCCAGCAGTCGACTACATTGTCCAGCTTGATCCTCCAGATGATGTAAGTCTTTTACTTGCTTTATTCATTTTTGCACATATATATGTATATATATAGTAGGGTATGCTAACTGGTCAGCCGCGAGACTATATCCACAGAGTCGGCCGAACGGCCCGAGGCAAGGGCAAGGTTGGACGAAGCTTGATGTTCCTACAGCCGTCGGAGGTGGGCTTCATCAACCATCTACGAGAGGCTCGTGTTCCCGTGGTGGAATTCGAGTTCCCTACCAAACACATCATCAACATCCAGTCGCAGCTTGAGAAGCTCATCAGCCAAAACTACTACCTCAACCAGGTTAGTCTTCTTCTTCTTCTTCTTCTTCTTATTTCATGCTTACTGATGATGTTTATGTAGTCGGCGAAAGAAGGATACAGGTCGTATCTACATGCGTATGCGTCGCACTCTCTGCGGTCAGTGTTTGACGTGAACAAGCTTGACCTGGTGAAGGTGGCCAAGAGCTACGGCTTCACGACGCCGCCGCGAGTCGACATTGCTCTGGGAGCGAGCATGAGCCGGGACAAGAAGGTGCAGGGCCGGAGGACATATGGCAGCCAGCCGAAGGGAGCGAGCTTTAAGCGGAAGCACGACGACAACTGATGTACATTTACTACTACTTAGACAGCCCTTGATCGTTATATCAGCCTTTGATACCTTCAAAAGTATAAAATTTAAGCTTTAATTTTCTTAGTCAGCATCACGTGCAACCTAAATTGAGTAAAGCGTTGAAGCATCAAAATTCGAGACTATTTTTGATAGAAAGAGAAGAAGCAGAAGAAGAAGACAGCCATTAACCATTGAGCCACGATAGAAGCACGATGGTGGCCGTCTGCACAGCGCTTGCCTCGCGGCAGCTCTTCCGCCAAGGTAAGCATTTCTCTAGGCACTTTTTGTCGGTGTGTGATCTAATGACAATTGGTTAAAAGGCGGTTTGACGGTATCCCGACGAAGCATAAGCACAACAGGATGTCTACAGGGACTACGCGACTCGCTGATGGCGAGCAACGAGAATGCGGACGCCTCCTCCGGCTCTGGAAACCTATCTGGAGCCAAGATCACTCATCGTCCTCCGCCCGTGAAGAAGGGTTCGCTGGCATCTGGCTCCATCTTCTCTGACGGCGACGACGTGAGCTTTTCACCTTCGGGCCCAGCACCCAAGAGACCAGCGAAGAAGGACGCTTCCACGCCAGCAGAACAGTCGACAGCCCTGGTTGACCGGAACCGAGACACGATATCGCGGACGCTGATCCCGCATCCGGACCGACGAGCTCGCTGGGAGCGGAAGATGGTTATCCGCAGCGTGAAGAACAGAGGGCAGCTCAGCCGGGAGGAGATCATCCATCAGACGGAGCGAGAGCTGCAGAGTCGGTCGCATTTCTTCAAGACGTCTGTGAAGAAGCTTGGCCCCCTGGCGAGACAGGTTGCCGGCAAGAAGGTGGAGGATGCGATACTGCAGATGACGTATAGCAAGAAGAAAGCAGCGAGGGACGTGAGGCTGTTCCTTGAGCAGGCTAGGAACGAGGCCATCGTGAGCCGTGGGATGGGACTGGGGAAGTCGAGTGGAGAAGGAGAAGGACAAGGAGAAGGGGAGGTAGAGATCAAGCTGAAGGATGGCAAGGCGTACACGGTGAGGGATCCCACTGCCATATACATTGACCAGGCGTGGGTGAACCGGGGCCCCTACGGGGTGGACTACGACCACCGGGCGCGAGGGCAGATCAACCGGCTGCGTCCGCCGCACACTGCGCTGGCGGTGGTGCTGAAGGAGGAGAAGACGCGGGTGAGGGAATGGCAGGACCGGACGGAGAAGGCGTTGAGGGAGAGAAAGGAGAAGCTGTGGGTTCAGATGCCTGACCGGAGGGTTACAGCTCAGAGCCAGTATTATTCTTGGTGAACTTTCTTGTATGATATTCATGTATAGTAAAGCAGTATAGTAGTGAAGCAGTCAAGCATCTAAACATTTCTAAACATAAACATGACCAAGTAGTGGAAGAAGTCTGAGCATGCAGTAGTATTAGAAGAAGAAGTCTAAACATAAACAAGAGTAGAAGAGGGTGATTAAGTGTCTATCAAAGAGACAAAGGACAAACAGGAAGGTGATCAAACGGGGTATCAAACTAACGTCCCAACTCCCAGCGTGACAACAGACGTAAAGAAAAGAAAAGAGAAAAAAAAAAAAGAGTAAAGAGAAGTAGAGAGGTAAGAGGTCACTCGCCAGTGGATGGTCGAGAGGCGGAGGCGGAGGATGTTGGCTTCTTGGAGGGCCGCCGTAAGTTGGGCAGTATCTCGATGTCCGGGAAGAATGCTTCCTGGTTGCTGTTGGCGAGGGAGAGAAAGTGGGCTCGCAGGTCGTGGAGCACTTGGAGGATCTCGTCAAAGGACTTTTTTGGTCCCACGCAGTCGTGCAGCCAGTCCGGAACAGGCCGTGGGACGCTCTTTGGCGAGCGTTTAGTCGAGGTCGACGTAGTAGTAGTAGCAGCAGCAGTAGTAGTGGCGGTAGTAGTAGCAGAGGTGGTAGTAGCAGCAGCAGAAGAAGTGGCTGCGGTGGTAGTGGTGGTGGCAGGGAGTCTCTCTCTGCGGCGGAGGGTGAGGTCAAAGGACTCTACGCCGCCCCAGGCCTGCATGTTGGCTATGGTGTCGATGGCGAGGCGGCACTGGGTGAAGGGCCACTCGTCGTTGCGGTATCTGGCGCGCTGGTAGTGCTTGCGGCAGTAGTAGATCCAGACCGAGTCTGGGATGTTGACGGTGCACTTTTTGTTTCTCCCAAAGATGTGGGAGATGACCTTGCGGTAGTGGCTCGAGCCTGTCGAGCAGGACTCGTCGAACTGGCACTGTCGGTCCATTAGACAGGTAGAAGTGGAAGAAGCAGAAGCAGTGGTAGATGCTGAAGTAGTGGTGATAGAGTCAAGCAGTAGCAGAAGTGGTCAAAGTCAAGGTCAAGGTCAAGACGAGTATCAAAGTCAAGATAGAAGAGGACGAGTAGGACGAGGAGAGGAAGAAAGAGAAGAGAAAGTAAAGAAGAAGAGAGAGGAAGGGGGTATTTATATGTCTCCCTTTCTAGGCCAGAAAGTGAAGATGGCAGCAGGACAGCAAGCGGGAGAGCAAGCAACACAGCAGCAGCAGCAACACAGGGAGGAAGGGGGAGAAGTGAGTAGAAGCCAGCAGGACATTCACTTGAAGGGCCAGAAGAGGGAGACTCGGGAAGTTCCAGTAGAAGTGAAGAAGAAGAAGAAGAAGAAGAAGAAGAAGACGAAGACGAGACTGACCTCATGAACTGCCTTGAATCTCCATGAATCAGGAGGAAGAGGAGGAGAGGTGAAGCATCCTCTGGCAGCGTCTCTCACGTCAGCTCCTCGACTCTTCGACTACTCTTGCAAAAGGGAAAAGGGTATCTCGAGAGGCTGACCTTTCTTAATACATGTATATATATTGTATATATGTATGTTGGATATCTGATATATCCATCTGCAAGTAGCAGTGTAGGTATAAGCACCCAGTAGGCAGGAGATCCAGTCAAAAGGAGAGCCAACCCCCCAGGAGACATGCTATCCTCACCACCACCAACTGCTGGGACTCAGCCTGGTGGTGGTGAGGATAGCTGGTGACAGAAAGAAGAGAAAGAGAAAGAGAAAGAAAGAAGAAGAGAAGAAGAGAAGACCCTTTTTATGTCTTCTGCCTCTGGCTGCTTGTCGTCGACGCCTGTCGTCTGGTTGTATCTGTCATCGTCGCCGACATCTCATCTATCCCTATCTCACTGCCTCTATCTCTGTCACTGCCTCTAACTACCTCTATCTACTCTTGTCTCTCCCCTGTCCTGCTTGTCTTCTTGTCTTCCTTCTTGTCTTCTGACCTAACCTTGGAACTTAACTAAGCTTGCTCGTGCATCGTTGATTGGGCAGGAAGAAGTCTGAGTAGGACAGAAGGAGAAGAAGTAAAGGATAGATGAGGAGAGGAGAAGAGTAGTTAAGAGGAGAGGAGAATGAGAAGAGGATAAGAGTAGAGGGGAGGAGGACATCATCATCATCTTCTTCTTCTTTGGTTGGTGGTAGAACTTCTCAGTGTTGAGTCTTGCTTGTTATCGATAAGCCG